CGGTTGGACCCTCTGCCGGAGTTCGCTCCATCCGCCCCAGATACTCCAGGGCGACTGACAACAAGTTCTCGTTGGCCGCCGCCAGGATGAGCGCGCGTGCTATAGCACAACCCCATTGGATCTAAACGCACCGACAGAACGACGGCCCTCCGTTCGTCACCGTGGCTTGCCCTGCTTTCTGCTTCTCTACCTTACACGTCAATTGCGGAGTGCGAAAAATCTCACTTCGGACCCCGAATCCTCGACTGCTTCATACTTTACTCCCCGTAGCCCTGCGATCGCATCCCGATATCTGAACCTTATCCTCTTGCCGACCCTACTGTCGTGTGGCTCTCCACCCTGCCACCGTACCCGGTCCGCCCCGCGCACTGAAGCTTGTTGACAACCGAGTAGGTAGACGGGAGCATCCACCTAGCGCACCCACTGCCCGCGGCTGCTGCTGCTGCTGGCAGGCTTGGCTTGGATCTGCTCCGTCATTCTGATTAGCGCCCCCACCACCTCTTTCGACAAGACAACGACGACACGATAGACTCAATCATTTCACGCCATCTTGCTTCGCATCTTTCATCGGCCCCCGGTGGGTCACATCAGCGCCTGTCTCCAATACCACCATGGGAAACGCAAACACAAAGGAGTCCCGCGGCGATGACAGCGGCCGCCGTGGCCTCCACTCCGCCCTCGACGCCGGTGTAGGCTCCTCGACACAGTCTGGCAGGGAGTCATCTAGGAGGAACCGCAATACCAGACACGATCTCATCGACGTTTTGGGGCGCGCCGCACGAGGTTCGAGCTCGCATGCGGAGCACAATGAACGCAAGGAAACAAAGCAGGAGAGGGAGGCCAGGAGGCTGGAAAGGGAGCGGGTTGCCCGGCTACAGGAGCGAGAGCGGAGCATGAAGGAAGAGCATGTCGACGGTGGCTATCTCGTCACCATGGGCACCTATGTCGGGCCTGAGGACTTTAACAAACAGATCGTCAGGCAGTTGATGGTATGTGCGCTCAATGCCCTGGGGTCAACTCCTTCGAGCATTGCTAACTCCTTTAGATTGAGCGTAAACTTGCTCCGTTTTGGCGAGGACTAAACGATTTCGACGAGAACTGGACCGAGCCTCAAATCATCGCTGCCGCGCGAGGCCTGCCTATTCCCGCTGCCGGCGAAACTCCCCCAGATGAACTGATTCCACGACCGCGCTCACCCGCCTCACCGACCGAAGCGAGCTCGAATATCAACCACCTTACGGTCCCGATAGGCGGTCGCAGCCTGTCGACAACTTCCGAGCATAGCGCATCCAATCCTGGTTCTGCTCTGCCCTCTCCCGGTTCCGCCAAAGGGAGCAGCTCGCCTTTCAAGCCCACACGAGGCAAGGCCATTGCTGCGGTCTTGGGAGGAGGAACTTCCCGCAATGCTTCGAGTACGGAAATTGCGCCCCGCGAAATCATACTGCCCAACGACCCTTTCGTCAACGGACAACCCCTCGAAGTCTTTCTCTACAAGAACGCTACCGAATGCCCGATCTGCTTCTTGACATACCCACCATACCTGAACCACACCCGTTGCTGCGACCAGCCAATTTGCAGCGAATGCTTCGTTCAGATCAAGCGGCCGGATCCGCATTTCCCAGAGGGACACAACGAGAACGACCCGAATAATAACCCTGAGGAGTCTGCCGGACTTTTGGTATCGGAGCCCGCTTGCTGCCCCTACTGCACGCAACCCGACTTTGGCGTTACTTATGAGCCGCCGCCATTCCGTCGCGGCTTGACCTATGCCATTTCACCCGTAGCCCTTGGGAGCACAAGCACAGCTATGTCATCCGAAAGCTCGGTCAACTCAGGATCTCTGTCTCCCGATGTCACTTCACCAGGTGGCCGTCGTCGCAACAAGTCATTGTCTGCCAACGCACCGAATGTCGTTCTAACGGATAGAGTCCGGCCAGAGTGGGCAAACAAGTTGCAGGCCGCACGGGCGCACCTGGCGAGACGCGCTGCTGCTGCGACAGCTTTACACACTGCAGCATTCTTGATGAACAACAACGAGTCCCGTCTTAGGAGCCGCTTCGGGCGTAGGAATACCGGAGGCTCTGGGTCAGCATCGGCTACTCCTGGTAATGGCGATGATAATAGGGGTGCCAGCCCAGCCACCCCTGCTAATGCTGGTGCTACGACCAATACAGATCGTGCTGCCGGTTCTGGTGGTAATGGAAACCGACGGAGCCGGTTGGAAGATCTAGAGGAGATGATGTTCGCGGAAGCCATCCGACTGTCGTTGGCTGCGGAGGAGGAGCGCAAGAAGAAGGCTGAGAAGGAGGAACAGAAGGAGGCTAAGAAGCGCGAGAAGGAACGGGAGAAGGCAGAGAAAAAAGCAGAGAAGGCAGCAGCCAAAGCCGCAGCGAAACAGGGCGGACCTTATGAGGCAAGCCGCAGTGGACACAGCTCGGCAAGTGGAAGTAGTCTGAGTCTACCTGGGCTGAGTTTCGGTAGGAAGCGTGGAAATAGTGCTGCCAGCAACCTCCGAGTCGAAGCCAGCGTAGCCAGCGCTATGGCATCCACGGGCGCCGCCGTGTCGTCGCCAGCAGCTCCTGGAGCGCTAGCTCCAGATTCGAACACCAAGGATAAGGGTAAGGGCGTTGATAGAAGTGCGGGCGCGGCGAACAACGACGCTTCTGCTTCTACGTCTCCCGTTCGTCCCATGCCGTCTCCCCAGCCGACTGCTGGACCGTCGCATCTTCGCCAGATGAGCAGTGCCTCGTCAGTCTCTTCGTCTGCGGTTGAAAGTCACCAGGGCAGTTATGTGCCGCCCTCTAATCTCCAGGATCCTCGTGGTAGCGGTCTCAGTCTAGGTGGCCGTTCCGGAGTCAGTGAAGACGGCGACGAACAGGACAGGGACGACCCAAGCACCAGCACGGAGCCTATGTTCAACTTCAGAAGTTTGGCCGAGGTAGTTGGCGTGAGCATCGAGGGCGAGCACGCCGGCAAGCGCCTCAGTCAAATCAATGCTGACGGTCAACCGATCGTGGGACAAGATGAATCGGCAAAGTCGGATGAAGGTGCTGGCGAGCATGTAGAGCATGTAGAGCGTGTCTTCGATTCACAGACTACCGGCCTTTCGGAGCAGGATTCGGAGATGAACTCGCAGCCTCCGCGATTTACTATCACTCTCGATTCACCCGCGACATCGGTCGAGGACGTCAGTACTACCAGCGACTCGAAGCATGTCGGCAACGAGACCACCGTGGAGCATGCGAGACAGGTCACGCAGTGATCGATTGCTGGCAACGAGAATAAGAGGAACAACAGAAAACATCCACAGGAATTGGGAGCTGATATCCAACACAGGCTAGGAAGAGCGCCCAGAATCATAGAAACAGTATAAACCGCAAGAGGCCACAACCTCTTAGTGTAGGAGTAGGGAAAGCGCGGGAAGACTGATTAAGTTGAGGAGAATGAAAGGGGAAGGAAGGAAGGATGTTAGGTGTATGGGAGCAACACCATTACCAATACCACCATCGATTCGTCAAGTTTGTGTGTATGTGCCAGGGAGGAGAAAGAGCATCTAGGAGGACCGATTTATTTTGTATATCCAACAACCACCTACTACCTACTTTTCTTGCCCGCCACCGTTGTCAACCACAGTGTCCACTCGCAGTCTTTTTCTTTCTTTACCAGGAATTAGGAGAAAGCCAACAATACTGAGAGGCGGAAATGGAAGGAGTTTCATGGTTGTTCGTTCATTGGTCATCGACGAATTGGAGTCTGGAGTCTTTCCAATGCAGAAGGGCTTCGAAGGTTACTGATTTTGTTCTTTAGAAACTGGGAAGGGATCTTATGGATGGGAGAATGGGAGAACTACGCACGTTCGAGTTAGTGAATAAGGCAGTGAAGGGGAAATTCCACCGTATCACAGACCACCACAGCGTACGGTAATCGAGATTGCTTTGTTTTCGAAGGATCGTAAATTCGAATAATATGATGCGACAGCGATTGTTGACTGTAGTCTTCACGCTGCGTACACCGATATATACTTCACAGCGTAGTACTGTTTCGCAGACTTGTGTCTTTGTGGTGTCAATAGTCAGGCATATGAAGTGACGGACGAGGGGTGATGTCGAGAGGTTGCCGATTTTCTGCTGCTGCGATGCGGGCGGGTTCGTAGTGGGGTTATAGGTGCTTATTTCCGAGCGCTAATTCAACAACAATCAAAAACCCCTTGTGGTGTAGTTGGATATCACGTTCGGCTGTAATTGTCTAGATTGTATACCGAAAGGTCACCGGCTCGATTCCGGTCGAGGGGAATTTCTTTTTTTTTAATTTTTTTTTTCACGACTTTTACACTACGACGCACCGACGATATTGCACTTGTCAACCTGGACTTTTTTTTTTCCCCTTTGCCTATTGATCGTTGCAATAAGTGGTGGTATGCTTTCGCCTATGATGAATATTCTAGAGCCTAAGAAATGAAACAGGAACTGTCTCTGCTGTGTCCTCTGAAGACGGTTGTATTCATCATCTGGGCTTTCTACGCCACTACAGTTTCTTCCCATTGTCCCTCTCATCCCAGTCCCATTGTCCATTCCATTGTCCACCCCAACTCGCCCAACTCCCCAACTCCAACTCCCGATCCCCGATCTTAATCCCCATCCAAACCCGGCTTCCCCTTCCGCTCCCGGCTCGGCCTTCTCTTGAGTCTCGGCAGTCTCCGCTTTCAACCACCAAATTCCCTCAACCCTCCACATCCCACACCACCGGCCGGCCGCCCAGCACCCACAAAGTCAGGCAACCCACAAACCCCCCAGTTACTATTGTCTCGAGGTATATGAGCCATTTTCCTCTCATGCCTTTTCAACAACCAAGCCTTCACAACAAGGTCAAATTCCATTGGGACCTTGGCGCAGTTGGCTAGCGCGCAGGTCTCATACTAATCACATGTATGATCTGACTGACTAACAACAGTTCAGAAAGTAATCCTGAGGTCGGGAGTTCGAGCCTCCCAGGTCCCAATATTTTTTCCTTTTTTTTTTTTTTTTTTTTGGGGGGGGGGATTTTGGACATTTCTTGCATGCAATGCCTTACCATCATACATACATACATACATGTTCTGCTCCGTTTTTGTTCTCTTGCTGTTTGTTTGTTCTCTTGCTTACCTACTCACTTAGGGGATTGATTCTCTGTAACGTACCTTGCTTGATTGAGCGTGGACTTTTTGAGGTGGCTTGTTTTGTTTTTTACTTAATTAAATCTTGCTCGAAGAGTGTTGTTGATGTTGATGTTGAAACATTTGGTTGGTATCTTCGTAGTTGAGAAATGGTGTTCGTCTGTCTAGCTGGCTGGCGCATCTGTTGACACGCACTCATGAACTGGAATTTTTAGTTGGGCCATCCATCCCTTTTGAGACGGTTTAATCAACGGCCAAATGCACGCAGAGAGACAAGACAGTGACTCGCTAGTGGTGTTTACTGCCCTTTTTCTTCGAAGCTTTATGGTCAAATTTCTTTTTTGCGTCTTGCCCAGTCTACGGACTTGGAGGATTTATCTGTTCCAAGTTGCACCCCGAATGCTCTACTTTCTGTTGTCTCTCCTGTAGATATCTCGTTGTGAGCTCCTTGCACCCCGCCACCTCACTTCCTCTCCGCAGCCACCCCCTCAGGAGCGCGCGTGCAGTGAGAAAAGGTGGCAGGCGGCGATAAGGAACGAAAGCTCCAAGTCACCACCACGCTCGGTGTAGTTGTTTTCGTCGTGCGATGTCAACGACGTTGGTCGAAGTCGAATGTTCAAGTTCCGGAAAAGAGCCGTCCCATTGTCATCCCCCGTCCAGTTTGTTGCCTCGAAGGCGATCGATGATTCTATAAGCAGTCAGCAGTAACAGCCTTCGCGGTCTCGGCTGCAGATTATCGCCTGTGTGGTCAGTCACAAAGGTAAGAAGGAACAAGGAAAAAGAAGGAAGGGCAGATTGATTACGTGGGAAAGCCCCACTGGGCCTATGGATGAGAAGCCCCAAGCCCCCCTTCCCCGTAGGGTCGAGGGTCAAAACAACGATAAGAGAAGGGGGAAGGGAGGACTTGGGCTGCGGAGCGAATGAACTGAGAAGCCGCAGTTCAACAAAAAGGTTTGCCGAAGCAGCTTTGTTCATGCGCCTGCCGCTCTATGATAGTATACAGATATCTGCTGGGTAAGCATCGGCCCAAAGAGAGGGCCTAGAGTTCAGTGATAAGAACTGATGGCAGAAAGCAGAATGCGCTTGTCCATGGCAGGACGAACTGCCGTTGGAATGGCGGATGCGCTGAAAAACGAAAAGTAGTACAAGGGGAAAGAGCAAGATCTTCGAGCCGTCGTCAGGCATATCAAGGGGGTATCGTATGCTTCCATGGCCACTGAGATATCAGGGCCCGATCCGCGTCGCTCAGTTGCCGCCGCAGTTGGATGCAGATATTCCGTATTCCGCCAACGCCAAAACAGACGCCAAGTCTCTCCGTGTACGGTCATCAACCGATCGTAATCAGCATGAGTTGTGTCGCGTGTACCTGAGCACATTGAGAACACTGAACCTAGCAGAGAAACTCGTGCGTCAGAACTCATGGCATGATGCTTACCACCTAGCGTCTCCGAGGACCGGCTGGACCGTTAGGCGCTGCCAGCTTCTCCAAATGGGCTCGCTGATTTCGGAAAGTCGAGTAGTTGCCTGCCAAAATGACCTCCAAAATGCTGGCATTGCGCCTATCAGGGGACTGAGCAAGCTGCGCCATGCGTCCTGCGAGCAGTTCATAGGCTTGCTTGAAGAGCGCCACGATCGTGCTGGTATTGCTAGAGCCGCCAGCGATGTCGTTCTCCGAGTTGTTGGGGTCGATGACCGAAAAGCGGTCATGGTTCTTGTATGCAAAGGTGTTGATCTTGTGCTGTATAAAGTGTCAGCCGAAGCGAACGCAGGGCATACAACAACGGACACTTACCTTGGGAAGATATTTGGGCGGGTTCAGGCAAATTGCCGTGGTCCGGTAGTTGAACTTGTTACCATAGAGGTCAAAGAAATGCATCAAGAGGTCCCCAACGTGATGGTTTGGGTCCATGGATCCGCTTTGTATTTGGGGCATCAGCTGAAGCATGCTGGTGACCAAGCAGGTGACAGTGAACCCTCCGATACCGCCATTGACCGGCTCGTTCAAGCCCCTCATGCAGAGGAAATGTTTGATCAATGTGACCAGAACAGGCATGACAGGGAACTGGTCTCTCCAGGCATGGAACGTCTTGATGGCCTGCAAGCCCGTGTCATTCTCAAAGGACATATCAATCTTGAGGCCTGTCCTGGAGTCAACCCACTTGACCAGCGGCACTTTGGCAAAGGCGATGATCTCGACCTCGTTCTGGAAAGCAAGTTTCTGTTGCTTGAGGGCGTCACTGAGCCTGTACATGGTCCTTCTAGTATCGTACTTGGCCCGATAGTTTCTCTTGTACTGATCGGAGCAGAGTACCATGTCCATGTCACCGGTAGGCAGGTAAAGTCCGGACGGGAACGATCCGAATGGATAAACTCCGGCATCAGAGAAGGTGTTGCGAACAAACCTGTTGATTTCGTCGAGCACCTCCTCACGGATACGTTTCTCGAAAGCACGAGGCTTGACATATTCGTAGAAATCGATGATCTCTTTGTGCAGCCAACGGCCCATCGTGGGGCTTGCCGAATGATCTTCGGCATCCCTCATCCAGGGGCAGGAGTCCTGGTTGGGAACTACTCGCCACTCGGGCTGAAGCTTGCCACCCACGGGCGCCCTGGTTGCCTTCTTGAGCCTAGCATGAGGCAACACGATCTCGTCGTCGTGGGTACGCTTCCTGCTACCCAAAGCAGAAGGAGTGGGATCATCGAAAGTGAGACGAGTCTTGGGTAGGTTCTTGGGTATGTTCCTAGGTGCCGTAGGAACCGGAGCCGAGTCCTGTTCGCTATCAGTGCCTGTGAGATCAATAGTCCCTGCCTCAGGCTTCTTGTCATCAGGCTTCTTGTCATCAGGCTTCTTGTCATCAGGCTTCTTGTCCTCAGGCTGCTTGTCCTCAGGCTTCTTGGAAGGCTGCTTAGCCTTTGAATCCTCGCTTGCGGCCGCGACGGGAACAAGGGAAAGGGGATCACGAGCTGATTTCCCAGTGGGCTTCACCTCTTGGACAATCTCAATGTCACTGTCGCTATCAGAGTTAAACATGATGATTTCGTCCAGGTCGTTCGGGAGCGCGGTCTTGGTTTCGGCAGCGGTTTGCACACGGGCTTTTCTGATCATCTGCACAACGTCCTTGGTCTTGCGCTCCCGAGCGCCCTCGGGAGGGAGTGCAGTATAGGGGTCGGGATTGGACCACTTGGGGGTGTTGTTGTCGCTGGCTGACTGGTCAAGCGTAGTGCGGGCACGCTTGGTCGACGGCTCAGCATCTTCATCGGCCTCATCTCCAGAGATGTCCATCTCCGCCTCATCACTGTCAGACAGTTCGTCGACATTCCGGTAGAGCACGCCTGTCTCGGGGTTGTAGAGGGCCTCCTCGTTTCCAGACTCATGGGTACCGCTCAATAGCTCGCGCTCAGCTGCAACAAAAGGACGCCACGGTTTCTTAAAACCTCCGTGAGGGCCAGCGTTGCGGCCTCGTCCACGACCGTTGGGACCTCCTCTTCCGTGGCGACGATCGCCTCTGGGAGAGTGGGCTCTGCGGCCATTGTAGGACTGCCTGTTGTCGTTGGGACGGTAGTTGTCGTAGTTGGAGTTGCTGACTCCCGGCGGCTTCTCTACCCTAAACGAGAAATCGCCCTGAGGAGGCCGATAATTGTCGCGGTCTCTTCCGCCACCACCGCCGCCGTTGTTGCGGTTGGAGTAGTTGTCGGAGGGACGGTAAGATGTCGGCTGGGGAGGTCGGGCAGGGAGACCATGAGGGCCGTTCGGCGCGCGTTGTTGGTAGCTGTTGCGGTCGTCGCGATGGTCGTTACCACGACGTCGACCGCCGCCGCCGCCGCCGCCACCGTTCTGGTATCGTTGCGACATGCTAAAACTAGCAGTTATTGGTTTGTGTGATACTGACCACGATAAATCGCATCGGGTTAGTGCTCGGTATCGGAGCACAAGAGGATGAGGTTGATTCCACAAGGGAAACAGGATACGCTGGGAAGTGGAAATGTTCAGCTTGTCTTTTTTTCAAGAAGTCCAAGGTAAAAGTTGTGTGGGGCAGCATTTGTAGTGCAGAGTTGACGGGACGGGCAACAAGTGATGACGGGAGGCAGGCCTGTTCCCAGTCGAGATTTCCACAAGGCAGGTGCGCTGTGTTGCCCGCTGCCGCAGTGGCAGGCGCGGCAGGTACGGCAGGTTCCGTTTTCGCAGGGCACTCTGAATGATGAAATGCCAAGAAAATCCCAGCCAGTCGAGGTGACACTGATAACCCTTATCGTTCCCCTTATCAGCAGGTCGCCGATACAATTTCCAGGACAGCGTCACTAACAATTAACAGCCTTCTCTCGAACAACAACCGCGACGCGACTCTCCCACGCACCTCAAGTTCCAACAAAGCTGCGCAAGAATCAATTGCTTGCAGCTGTTTATTCAGTACTGTAATGGCAGGAGGAGGAGGAGGGGCCAGGAAGTCCCGGGCGGCGGGACCAGTACCCCCCACGACAACACTGGTCCTCGACAACGGCGCCGACACCATCAAAGCTGGTTTCGTTTCCGATGATACAAGTGACGACAAGCCTCGCATTATCCCAAACTGCCTCGCGCGAGACCGCCACAGGAAGATATACGTCGGTTCGGAGCTTGAAAAATGCAAGGACTTCAGCGAGATGGCCTTCAGGCGCCCCGTCGAGAAGGGCTTCATCGTCAACTGGGAGGCCCAGAAAGAGATATGGGATCGCGAGTTCTTCGACGATAAAGCTCCGCAGAAATGCAATCCATCTGAGACCAGGCTCATCCTCACAGAGCAGCCAAATTCGTTACCTTCCCTTCAAACACACTGTGACCAGATAGTCTTTGAGGAGTATGGCTTTGCGAGCTATTACCGTGGAGTGGGTATGTGACATCCTAGAGAATTGTTCTTTTCTTCAAAGGTGCTGACCTTACTTGCTAGGTCCTGTCTTTAACGCGTATCGTGACATTCAATCCATCTTCCGAACACCCCAATCCACCATAGACAGTCCAGCCGAAGTCATCCTGCTCATCGACTCGGGTTACTCTCACACCACCGTTACACCTATCCTTCAAGGACGACCGCTACATCCGGCCATACGAAGACTTGATGTGGGTGGCAAGCTCATGACCAACTATCTCACCCGGTTACTATCCGTCCGCCACTTTGACATGCGCAACGAACCATACATCGTGAACGAGATGAAAGAAGCAGTATGTTATACATCCCTGAACTTCAAGGGTGACCTGGAAAAGACTTGGAAAGGGACCCGCGGCGAAAAGAGGGAGGACTACTTGAGCGGTGCTGGCATCGCCAAGGACTACGTTCTTCCCGACTCCCACACGCACTTCCACGGTGTTGTCCGTGACTACGAGCCTGGTGTCTCGGCGCGCGCCCGCAAGGGCATTGTATCTACAGAGGATGTACTGACGCTACGGAACGAGCGTTTTGTTGTTCCAGAGCTCCTCTTCAACCCTTCTGATATCGGCATCCGACAACCTGGCATCGCCGACCTGGTCAAGCAGTCCCTCTTGGCTTTGCCCATTGGCCTGTGGCCTGGCCTTCTGGCTAATATAGTAGTTGTGGGAGGAAACAGTCTCTCCGAAGGCTTCTGTCAGCGTTTGCAGACCGAGATTCTCAAACGGTTCCCCGATGAATGTAGGGTTCGGGTTGCCCGCCCGGAAGACCCTATCACCAGCACATGGCTGGGAGCTGCCAACTTTGCCAAGCACGAACACGCTAGTAGGCTCGAGGTCACCAAGCAAGAGTATGAGGAACACGGAGCTGCTTGGGTGGCAAGAAAATTCGCTGCTGGGCTCGGACTAGACTCCTGAGCATATGCTAAGAGTCTATCATTGCCTTTTTCAAGCTTCTAAGGGTTCGAGACCGGGAACCTAAAAAGTGATTACCAAGCGGCTTTGCTGCTTAAATGAGTGCCCAGCTGAATACCATTGCCGCTGGGCCAGTGCTCGAAGGGAAACGCCAGATATTAATGGTCTTGGTGGTCTGGCGCGCCGGACAGTTCATTCTTGCCTGTCTTTTTGGACGTCAAGTGCCAAAAGGTAGGCCGTGCACTCTGTCTGACAAGCGCCGGTTGATGCTGAACCCTATCGTGCCATGCCAAAAGACAGAGACCAAGTCTCGAGGGGGTTGTTCCATAGACTGGCGGTGATCTCGGTTGAGGTACACAACGGCAAAACTGTTCAACTGATTCCAGCTCGCTACAACATTGCACGGCAAAGTTGGTGCCAGAGCTCATGAGGGCGAGCCACCCTGCCATCTTTGTGATACCCATGATGCTGCCCTTTGTCAAGAATTGTCTACATGGGTTGAAGAAAAGGTTGACCGCTGACCTCCAGCAAGAGGCCAAATCACACAGTGTGATGCCTACTTATCTTCATTGACTATTGGCGTGTTATCGCCTGCAACTTCGTTAACCCGAACACCCTTGGTTCAGACCAAGGACTGGGCGTATTTTACCTCCAAAGGTGCAGATAACGCAATATGAAGCTCTACTCTCTCAATGGGATCTTCTCCACGCCCAACTTTACGGCCTCTGCATTCAGAGCATCGATTTCTTCCTTGACATATGGTATGCCATCTTTCAGTCTCTGCTCCTCATTCAGCTGCTCAATTTCGCCCGGGAAGTAAATCCTGTCAACGCCATGCATCTTCTCAGAGTTCACCACTTTCTGGTATAGAACGTCCATGCGTTCCCTAAACTCGTCCAGACTCATGAACAAGTCCGGCTTGATTGCCACAAAGAAATGCCCAACGTCTCCCGGTTTAGACATGTCGTACGGCCCCGTCACACCTCCAGCAAACGCCGAACCAGAAAGCACGCCGGAGAAGACATCCATCATGATAGCCAGCGCCGACCCCTTCGGCCCGCCCATGGGCAGCATCACGCCCTCCAGGGCCTTGGCCGGATCATCAGTCTGTTTTCCCTCCCCATCCAACGCCCAGTCAGTCGGTATCTTCTCCCCCCTCCTCAGCGCCTTATAAATCTTGCCCCTCGCCGCGACCGAAGGCGCCATATCCAGGATAAACGGCTTCGACCCCTCACCCTTCCCACCCGGCGCACCGCACGCAATCGGGCTTACTCCCATCATCTTCTCCCGCCCACCCCAAACCGGGAGGGCAGGCGACGAATTGGTGAACACCAAACTCATCATGTCCGCATCCACAGCCTGCTTCACAATCCAAGCCGACATGCCAAAGTGGTTGCTGTGCTTGACGCTCACCATGCCGATCCCAAACACGCGCGCCATGGCGATGGCCGTGTCCATGCCCAGGTGCGCGGCGGGGAAGCCGAAGCCATTGTGTCCCTCCACCTGGGCGACTACCTATACTTCTTTTTAGCCTTCTTCGTTATTAAGTTATAGTCTATTTTATATTATATTACCGGCGTGATCTGCGTCAGCGTGGGCTCGGCGGCCGGGTCCAAAACCCCGTTGCGTACGCGCGAGAGGTACGAGGGCAGCCGCAGGATGCCGTGGCTTTCGACGCCGCGCAGGTCGGCTTGGACGAGCCCGGAGGCGGTGATTTCGGCGTTCCGGGCGGACACGCCGGAGGCGGTTAGGAGGGCGATGGCGAAGGCTTTGGCATCGCCGTGGTTGACGCGGACTAGGTTGGGGGTTTCTGTTGTTGTCGCCATGGTTGTGGAGGGGTTAACGCTTGACTGGCGGGGGTGCTTGATCGTGGAAGGTGGTGCCAGTGGTGAGGTGGTCAGGTGCCTCTAGAGATGGATGGATGTTTGTGTATCGATAAGAGGAATGCGGGGGAGGCTTTTTGGTGGGATTCAGGTATCAATAGTGGACGGGAGCTAGGAGACTAGGAAGCAACCGGATGGCATCGGAAGCTGTCTATACTCCGGCTTTGCAGAATGCGTTGACAACTTGACGTTGCTGCTGAGGATGTTAATGGATGTCTTCCGTTCGGTTCTTTTCTCTTCAGAATAAAGATCTACGCAAGCAAGCGAATAGTTGAAATGGTATTTCGTCCCGTTCGACTCGGTAAGAAAGCGAAGCTTTACTGCAGAGCCAAGCTACGCCATCGCATCATCTCCCGCTGTAGCCAAGCAAACCCCACGATTTGATGCCAAGGTAATGTATCCATTATCAACGACATTCTTCAAATGTCCATTTCGACCGCAAGAAATCTCTACTCGTCAGGCCTACAAAATCGGCGGCTGACTAGCGGGAAACCCGTTGTAGGCCTGACGAGTAGTTGTGGGTTTTCCCCGCAAAATGGTCCTCACCTATTCCTATAGCAGCAACTCATCCCGAGCAAGCGGCGATCTTCAGGTGTTGCCGTGAGTACCGAAGGCGGGGAAATGTGAACATTTGGAGCTTAACCCGGAAATAACAGCAATATCGTCTAACCCAAGACAATAGACGACTTGCTACACAGACAGAGTTCGTATGAAGTTCATTGTGCTCACTTGCGCTCATTAAACCAGATATTCGGATGTCCAATGTCTGACGATAGCATCATGATCTTTGCAGAGCTCATGTTGTTTCTTTTCTCTACCCCCCCTTGGTCCAAGTATTGAAGCTTACGTACTAGCAAAAAATACGTCCTACGACCGGTGTAAGCCACCTACCAAAAGGGGATTCCCGTTCACTAGTTCCTCCACTACAAGCGGATGGTGGATGCGGGGAACCCTGAGCTTCAAAGTTCAAACGGTGCCCTCTTTCCAACTCCGACATCCTCGCTCGATGAAGGCTCGTTGGCGGTCACAGAGCAGAAGCTACAACTCGAAGACAGGAGAACAAAAAACCAAAGCCTCGAGTCACCTCGAACCGCTGAATTGACACAAGTACCGAGCACTAGTCCAACTGAAGATGGCTGGCAGGAAGGCGACTCATATGCAACGTCCGACTGCTGGGGGAAGCCATCGTGTCCATCATCAGCCATTGACGGCATGCTGTTGGCCATACATCGTGGTGACCAGCCAATCGTCACAACCCAGATTCAAGCCCGAAAGCAATCTTTCTAGGACCCCATGATCTCCCCAGGAAAATCTTCCCCGAAGAAAATGGAGTCAACCCTGCTTGAGGCATGGCCCGGTTACACCACATCCCCACATAGAGATAGGCCACTCGCGGCCCTTTGCTCATTGGCCCTGGTTGTTGAGCGGTCAATATCAGGGTGAACCGGGACTCTCTCATATATTAGGTTGATGGTATCACTCCCCTCTCTTGTGTTCCTGTCGCCTGTTTCTTTCATACCGCTCCTATCGACAGCAGCACCCCAATCTCACGATGGCTGGTGGCGTCAAGAAACCCGTCAACATTTTTAAGCTCAAAAACCTGGGCGAGCCGAAGGAAGTGTTCAACTGGAGGCTATGGTTCGCCGTCTTCTCCTTCGGCCTGTTGGGCGCTGCCCGTGGTGTTGACGAAGGATTGATCAACGGCGCACTCAAGAGCAAGAACTTCCAGGACAGCATAAACTATGGCTCGTATTCGAAGGTTGAGCAAGCAAACATCAAGGCAAATATTTCGTCTATGGTGCAAGTTGGGAGTGTAGCGGGGGCTCTCATGTAAGTCAACAGTCTAGTCCCTCTTCGGTTCACTCACTGACAGATACCGGCTGCAGTGCCTTCCTCATTTGCGACAGGATAGGGCGTATCTGGGCTACCCGATCTCTCTGCGTGCTTTGGATCTTGGGCATCGCTATCTTCATGGGTTCGAACGGCAACCTGGGTGCAGTCTACGCGGGGAGGTTCGTCGCTGGTTTAGGCGTGGGGCAGACGCCTGTCGTCGGGCCCGTCTATATCGCAGAAATTGCCCCGGCCACCGTTCGTGGCCTCTCGACTTGCATTTTCACCGGTTTCGTCTATCTCGGTATTGTCCTGGCATATTTCACCAACTACGGGTGCCAACTTCACCTCGACGAAACCCCCGCCCGATGGCAAGTACCTACTAGTCTTCACATCATCTTCGCGGGCCTCATCTTCCTTCTCACCTTCCTACAGTATGAATCGCCCCGTTACCTGGTTAAGATAGGCAAAAACGACAGAGCACTCCACGTCATGTCCCGCCTCCGCCACTTGCCCCCCGACCACGACTACGTCCAGCGCGAAATCAACGCCATCACCCTCAGCCACCACGAAGAAATGGAAGCCACAAAGGGTGCTGGCTGGCTCGGCATCCTCAAAGAAACCTTCACCGTGCGCAGCAACCTCTACCGCGTCGCCCTGGCTGTCGGCGCTCAAGTCCTAGGACAATGGTCCGGCGCCGGCTCCATCACCATCTACGCGCCGGACCTGTTCGAGCTCCTCGGTATTACGGGCACCCAGGAATCGCTTTTGGTGACAGCCGTCTTCGGCATCATCAAGCTCGTAGCCGCCGTCCTCTGCGCCCTCTTCCTCGTCGACTTCATCGGCCGCAAGCGCTCCCTCCTGCTCGGCATAACCTGCCAAGCCATCTCCATGCTCTACGTGGCCGGCTTCCTGTCCGCCGTCCCGCAGCTCGGCAACGAAGAGGGGTACGTGCTCGCCCCTTCGTCGGGAAAACTGCGTGCCTCGCGCGGCGCCATCGTCATGATTTATCTATCTGGAGTCGGCTGGGCGCTGGGTTGGAACAGCATGCAGTACTTACTCACCGCCGAATTGTTCCCGCTGCGCATCCGCGCGTTTTGTACGAGTTTGGCCATGTGTCTGCACTTTGCCAACCAGTACGGCAGCGCGAGGGCTGTGCCTGTCATGTTGCTCCCTGTGAGAGAGGGCGGGATTTCGGGACAGGGGACGTTCTGGTTCTTTGCGGTCGTGACCATTCTGGGAGGGGTTTGGGTGTTTTGGTTTGTCCCCGAAACCGCGGGCAGAAGTTTGGAGAGCATGGATCGCTTGTTTAGTTTGCCGTGGTGGAAGATTGGGCGGTATGGGAATAGGGAGGCGGCGGTGCTGGATGAAGCGGAACGGGTGGGAGGGGAGAAGGAGGGCGAGATGATGTCGAGGAGCGGGTCGCATGTGGAGGAGAAGGGGATGGTGTATGGGGCGGAGAGGAGGGTTTGATGATGTCGGAATTGTGATAGGAAGACTGTTGGATAAGAATTGAATGAGTGTGAGAGTCTGAGGTAATGAATCATATCCTGCCATGGTAATTCTTATTGTCTTCATACGTCTTTTGAAGCAACAACAAGGCGTGGTGGCAGAGTGGTCTAATGCGCAAGACTAGAAATCTTGTTCCTTCGGGAGCGTCTGTTCGAATCAGGCCCACGTCGCACGATGACCATCAATAACTTCTTTTTGCTTTTTTTACGCCAGCAATATTACGGAGGCACGTCTCATGACCCTAGAGAGGCGGAAGAAGACGTTACAAACAACAAGCAATATGCATGCATTTGTTATTTTTATTTTTATTTTATTTTTTTTAGTGTTCTTTTTGTGCGCTGGAAGTGACGGATTCAGCTATGACCATATGAGGTCCATTTTTGCTTCCTGCTAATATCTAAGGTCCGCTGGCTCAATGGCAGAGCGTCTGACTACGAATCAGGAGGTTCCAGGTTCGACCCCTGGGTGGATCGATTCTTTTTGACTTTTTTTTCCTAAAGCTTTTTGCATACTCCGATGACACTCCTTTTTTACTCCTCGATTTACCATGTTTCCGCTTACATAACTAAATTTTGTGATGTTCAAGCTTGTTTCCCTTCTCTTGGGCTTTTGGATTGATGTTCGTATCTCTCCATATGAGCCAACTTGGAAGTTCGGAATGGGGCATGAGATTCCAACATGTCCGTCCTCACGACCCGATTACGTTCATTGATTACTTCCTGCTTTTACCTTTGCAAGCCGAGAGGCAAAGGTCTGGCTAGGGTATTGGTAATGGGACTACACTTGACTACCTTACACGGAAGTCGCCATTGTGTACCGTCATTACCTATTTTCCCTTTAAACATGAGGCAATAGCACCCAGCGAATTGTGTGCGCAGAATGTGTTGTGATGATCACACACTTCGATCACACACTTCCACATGTAGTCGACCAAGTTTCCGATAGCGGAAAGAAGAAACGAATGCACACCCAAAATTCGGACGTGCCAGGAGGTCACCACGCTCCGACTGCGGAAAGGTTTGAGATATTGACGCTTGCCATAGCATGTGTATAAACCTCCTCATCAGAAGATATAGCACTCATGGTCATGGTATGGTCATGTCTTAGATGAAGGAGTCCTCAAGTCAGCCACAGAGCAACGTCGATATGCAGACGGCCGCCGCCGAGCGATGTCCATCACCCAATCACCATGTCCCATTAGAAGTCAGTGACAATGTCTCCCTTTTGGGAGTCTATCACACCCCATTCTCATCCAAATCGGGCAAGCCCGATGCTCAGGCATTGCCGCCCGTGGCTTCAGGAATCGGGATTTGTCTCCTGAGGCAATCCTCGCCTAGGAAGCAGGGGAGCGTGGGATCAAAACGACGCAAGGCAACGAACTATCAGGGAACAAAAGTGTGCAAATACAACTTCAATGTGCCTCATGACTGGGTGATATTGCCTTCTTCCGTGCCAACACCAGTCCACCATCTCGGAGCATCTCCGAGTCCATCGGTGACGAGTTGACATAACGTCACAATATTGGGATGGTCATTAGACGCCGCGAGCAGACAACCAACAACCTAGGCTCCTCAAGGCAGACAGCAAAACATGCACTTAAAGAAGGTTTTCTCGCCATAATACGAAGTGAGATACGAAATAAAAGCTTCTCGGTCACTGTCTTGGCCGTAGCGGCGTAGAGGCTGAGGGTGGTAATCGAAGACCCTGATTTGCTGAGCGGTGTTATTGAAGTGCGAAAGCCAATCACGCATTCGAATCATGCCTGCCCTTCAGCACACATGTAAGCCAACGGCAAAGGCCCTGGTCCGAACCAGAATTCCATTGACCATCCAATATCCATAAGGCTCGTACCCGTAAGTCAAGAAGTATCGGGACGGGAGGCCAACAAGGCTGTGGTTTCATTGACTGTCACCTTTCTCACTTGAAGGAGACATGGATGCGAAGGCAACCATAAAAAAGCCGTAGAGGTACAAATAGGTGGCTTTGTATCGCCCTATACGCCTCAATGTCGGTATGAGGAACTGGCCTTCAACGTTAGTATTGAAGCTTAGTAGTGATAACGAAGGTCACCATGGAAGTGATGGTACGAGAAAGGAAGGAGTCGCGCCTCCTGTGCTCGAGGAGGATACGAACCTACACTACTTTGAAGGTAGTAATGGGCGGAAAGAAGCCCCGGTTGTACGGCCCCCAATGGACTAGTACCATCAGTCACCCCTGCACTTATATCAAAAGGAATGGCCATTTCCTCTACACCTTCTCAGATCATCAACTTTTGAGTTCGTCATTTCCGCCAGGACCCGATATTGCAGGCGGGCACTGTACCTGCACTGCGCATGCTGCGCATCACGCGCTTCCCACGTTGCTTACCCTGGCTCCCGGTTTCCCACCCCCTTGATAGTTCATGTACGCACTTAGCCACTTCCACCTCATCTTCTTCGCTTCTTCTCCATGTCGCTACCGAACATCATCGCAAATCCCCCTCTTCTCAAGCCACCGAAAACCAGGTCGTAAAGACTTACGACCGCAACGCAGACCTCCGAGTACACTGCCATTGCAGTCCACAGCACACAATCCTCCACCAACTCAAGATGTAGAGGTATGCACATACGCACTTTCTCTGCGGCTGCACCGTTGCAGCGGGCGGCCTGCGATGCAGCCATCAATAGTCCTTCGGATGATTTAGGTACGTGGGGGCCGCTGTTACCTCGTACATTCGACAATTACTCAAACCTTCCTCAACGTCTCATCATCTTCAATGTTGTTGCGCCGTCGAAAGGCACATCACAGCCGTTTTTGATCGAATTTATACACCCTTCCATGATACTCGTAGGAGTGTCATGACTGTTGTACACTCATCACAAAGTAAGATGTGTGATGATCCCCGGACTACGGCATAAGAGCTAAACAAGATCAATCAGGAGTAGGCATATCATGGAATAAGTGCCATGAGCGTGCCTTTTGGTGCCATCACTTTCCCATTCGGAACGTCACACAAGACAACGGGATAGCCAACTTTCTTTCGGGCAAGTCGTCTGATAAAAGCCATGTTTTGTCCGAAGCAGCCACAGGGTTATATGTGCACCGCCTGACATCTTACCTCACCGGCGCCTGGCGGGTAAGGGCACAGACAGGCAGTCAGGCACCGGATTCAGCAATACAGTGGCGCTGGCCAAAGGTCACTTTCGTGTTCCACTTCACAACTACCTGGCATTAGTAACGGAGGTGGGGGACATGGAAGAGGCCACCCAGGCACATGAAGAAAATCAAGAAGGTTGTTCTTTTCGGTCAGTAAGTTCCCCCTTATCATCAGATATGTCGTTGGGCATTAACGCAAGCGCATAGCCGACATTCCTTCTAGCGCCTTTGACACAGTGAAATCAACATCTTTTAAGCGCCCGGACACATGGCGACGGAAGACATCGAGATATCCGGCCTTCCTCCTGCCAACTTGAGTCTTGAATGCGGACTGAGTACTGCCAGTATCCACTCGGACAACCTCCTCCGCAGATTCAGACTAGGGTGAACAGACACCGTTCGTAACGGGAAGCTGTGTGGACCACCGTTGCAACGGCGAGCACGGCGAGGTCCCTAACCCCCTTGCAACCGATATTCGGGGTGGGTGTGGAGCTTTCCTGGCGCTCACATTCGGCCGGGGGCTGCTTCGGTGGCTTGCTCCTCCAAGACTTCAACGTCGTGGGATCGACTTTGCTGTGCTCGACAGCGGACATCTCCGTGCTTCACTTTGCCCATCACCACAGCCTTCAATCGGCTACTCACTCCATCCGAAGCAGGTTGACACACTCAGGTCTGTCAGATACTACCAAACTCGTGGCATATGTGCCTCACAACCACTACACCCTCCTCCTTCTCATGACCACTTCCCCGAGGACGCATTGGCGAATACAACGCCTGAGTCAGAAGGAGGATGTGATCGACGCATGGACACCACCATCCCTCCATCAAGATGGCCTCAATATCACAGTTGCTTCACAGTCACTGCGGATAGGCGCCTGGCACAATGGGGCTCAGGTCTTGTTACATCTGGAGCCTGGTTGGTCGAGGACTCGACAACATGGAGTTGAAAGAGGAATGGCCTTCTTGCCACGCCCTTGTGCTGTGATAGGACTTGGTTTCAGCCCATTGTAGAACACGAGCAGGCTCCTCATAGATGGGTATGGCTTCAACTTCCCTGGGAGGGAAAGAACTGTGGTGGATGCATGGGCTGGGGGAAGGCAAGGTCGAGGGGGCCCTTTCTTACCCCATCTGAGAGTCGCGCCTTCCTTATGTCCTGGCCATCTGGGAAACAGATAAAGCAGAAGGACTTCCTACAATCTTTTTGTTGTCTTCGATAATCTCCTCAACAAACCTGGACGACAAGCCTCACTACCTTACCTGAAGTCTTGCTCCGGTCTTGTAGATATCTTTTCGTTGCAGCTTTGCAACTGCCTATATAACAATTCTTTGGGGGCTCACAAGCTCCTGCACATTTCCTTACCATGAAGTTCCTCAGCACAACTCTTTTCCTTCTGGGTATAATGTCCCAGCCTATCCTCGCAGAGTTCTCTTTCACCTCCACAGCCGAACACAATGGTGTTCCAGTGCCGCAGTCCGAAATTAATATCCAGCCGTTCGAGTCAGGTACCCTTGGCCGAATCAGGAGCCGTACCGGTGATGATTCGGGCCCAAAGATAGGGACCACGACCCTGAGACGGGTCAAGAGAACCAATCCTACTGCTAACAGCAATAACTGGTGTGGTTCTGTACGCACTACAACGTCAAGCAACCAGATAAAGCTCATCCACGGGACCTTTCAGCATCCCACCTGCACCCAGCGGCCCGGTGTCACTCAGTATCCCCAGGCGGCAGCGGCTTGGATTGGCATTGATGGTGATTCGTGGACTTCGGCTTTGCTGCAGGCTGGGACGGTTTGCAAGGTTAGTTACTGCTATGTTTAGCTTGGCTCGCTCTTACCTCTTGAGGTTGGCCGAGATAGAGAGAAAAGACACTGACGATAGTGGTGAGCAGATCAATAACTCTACGGGAATTGTCGAGTATGTCACTCTCACCCTTATTTCTTAATCCTACAACAGCCATAACTGACGTACCTTTCCCAACAGGAACGAAGTTTGGTGGCAATGGGTTCCCAGTGGAAGCTACACGATTACCAACGTTCCCGTCTTTGCTGGTGATTGGATTGATATCACCATCAATACGACCTCCTCCACAGCAGCGAACATGTAAGTATAAATATTTCATCTCGTTCCAATTGAATAGGCTTCATCTCCCTCACAGAATTTTTTTTTTCGTATCCTTATACGGCCCCAGTATCGGGGAAACAAACATGCCTTACCTATAGCGCCCATCAAACATCTCTTCACACCAACTCTGATAACAATCACCATACCCTGTCGAACATTCCATAACCCCCAGTCCTCATTTTACCTAAATCACCATCAACCTCACTATCAACCTCACCGTCGCAGAACTCCGAGCTTCAGGCCCGAGTCTCGCTCCACACCAACTGCAGTTCCTCTTATCTTCACCATCCAACTTCACTTCTTTCCTCCTTCATACCCTCCAACCCAACTAACCCTCCCTCTCTCCCCCTTTTAGAAAAATCGTAAACACCAACCGCGGCTACACCCACACCATCAACGCCTCCACCGGCGCCACCCTCGCCCGCGTCGACGCCGACTGGGTCGTCGAGCGCCCCTACTACGGGACCACCCTGGCGGGCTTTGCGCAGTTCACTCAGGTCTGGTTCCAGAATGCATATGCGACGCTCACGAGTGGGACCAGCTTGGGCATTACGGGTGCGAAGCAGTACCAGATTCCGGGCGGGTGCGCGAGCACGGAGTTTGATAATTCGAAGCTGTACGCTGCTGTTGCGCCTTAGGAAGGGGTGGGTGGTGAAGATGGGGGGAGGGCAATGGCGCCTTGTATGTGTTTAACTGTCAAGCGTATCTAGGCAGTCGTGCTTGCTACCTATTTTTAATGTACCTTCTTCCTTCCCGTTTGCATTCATTCGAGTGTTGTCAATTGTTGATGCATCCGACTCCGCTTTTGTGTCCCGAACTTGACCCATAGACTATAGACACTCCCCAATTGCGCGCGACACATTCAAGTTATCGACACCGCAACATTTGCACAAAAAAAAAAGGAGGAATAATAAAAGACAGAGAGAGGACGAGGATGGGAAAAAGGGAGAGGGAAAAGGGACCCACAGCGGCAAAAAGTGAAAAAAAGAATGCCCAATAACAGGATTGAACTGTTGACCTTCGCATGGACTTAATATCTCGGAGAAGATATTAGTACGACGCTCTAACCAGCTGAGCTAATCGGGCTGTGCTGTTGTTGATGATTCGCTATCAAAATTGATTTTATGAATCCCCCTTCCGGAAACAACTCGGAATTCTGCTGCTGCTGCCACCCTCCCTCCCTCTCTCGAAGAAGCATGATGTCCGAAAGGCTATGGACGGCGCACGTATGACGAAGAAGCTTGTTCCCATTAGCAAGGAATGATTGTCGAGCGATTAATGAAAATTTGTGATTGATTTAGTATCGAAAACTTTCAACCCATCCCTCGCAGTAGTCAAGTGTCCATCATCCCCCCCTATCACCCCTCCCACGACCTCCTCCTCCTCCTCCCAGCCTTCTTATTCTCAACAACCCTCATCCCCCCCATAACCCCCGCCAACGGCGGCGCTCCCAAACTTTCCGGATCCGGCGGCGGAACTCCACACCTCACCTCCACGCTGCGCCACTGGCCCCCAACCGCCCGGTCCTCCGGAATAAAAACCACGGTGTTGAAGTACCCCACGCAATTTGGCTCGGCGAACACGCGCGCTTCGCACCCGTCGGACTTGTTGGCTAGGAAGTTGCCGCATCCGGCTGTAGAGTCGTTGGGGATATTGTAGCATTGCGGTGTGGTTGTGATAGGGGTATTGTCCGGGTTGAGTGCTGGTGGGGGGAGGTCGAGTAGTAGGACGGCGTGGCCGCGGCAGTGGGTGGGGCCGGGGACGCCGGAGAAAATGGTGGCGCGAATGGGGAGATGGATGCTGCTGCTGCTGCCGCTGCTGCCGCCGCCGCCGGCGGTTTCATTGGCGTTGGAAGTGGGATCGGGGTTGATGGTTACTTGGCCATTGTCTTCTTTGAGGTCGGCGCCGGCGGGGAGTTGGGGGAGGGCGGTGGCTGTTGGTATGAAAGCCGACCAGGGAAGAAGGGTGGATAGGAGGAGGGCGAGAAATCGTGGTTGAAGCATGTTCATGCGTGTCCCGCGTGCACGCGGTTCTTGGTAGGCCCTTGGTCAAGTGGGAGTTTGCGGTGTCGATAATGGACTTTTAGGAAGTCGACTATTGATGAAGATCTCGTTTTAGGTGAACACAAACCATCTTGAGAGTAGATATGCTGAACCGTTGATGGGCGCAGGTAAAGTCTAGTAGGGCGCCAAGACTGTGCCGTTTCACAGCGGTTTCGTTGCGAGTCCCTGAGCGTAGAGTTGCATCAACCAGGAGCGTTCCCGAAATCTTATGTTGCATCGTCCGTCCGCTTTCCGAACATGTTGTCGGGCATTCTTCTTGTTGTCGTGAATATCATCGCGGTTCTGCTTCTTGAAGTGTCGGGTCTGGGTGAGGTTGTCATGAATAATCATACATCCCACGGTGTAAGTCGTAGGGGAAGAGCGGGGAAGAGATCTTAACTGAAAATTGACAAACCTTCGCCAAGGCTTTGCAGGATGACTTTAGAGGTTGTAGTTGAAAGAGATCAATGAGGCGTACGACTTATCATATCGAAGCATGATTACCACCGGCTAATAAGAGAGTCGTGACGCAAATCATCGGCATTAGTTCCCCCCAGAGAATCATGGGGTCGTCATGTTCATCCCAAAACTGTCGTTTGCGTCCTTGGCAGATGCGGACATCCCACATACCTCCAGCTAGGCGTTCGGATTATGATCCCATTCGTGTACGATGCCGGAGGTTGATTGTCCTGTGATCGCAGATAGGTGATCATGGCCAGATTCGGTGAGCGATAGATAATGAACTGGGGGGTTTCTCTTCATTCTCCTTACTTGTGTTGGGGACAAGAAGTATAAAGCTGAAAGTTATCCTACCATGGGAGTAAGTGTTAGAATAAAGTTTTTCACTTGCCCCAAAGAATTCAACACAGCGATCTGAACTCAGACAAACTCTTACAAGATTCCCACGTCCCAGTACGATACCTTCATACATTAGACCGAAATGAGTCCCTGTGGATGCACTTCGTGCTCTTGCACAAACTGCGATGGTTGCAGTTGCTGCGTAAGTCGCTGATGGAAATTGACACCAAATCGTGGTTGCTAATACTCGTCAACAATTTAGTCACACTGAGAGCAACCCCCATCCCCAAGTACAGATGGCGGCAAGAACAATAGTCTGACAGAGTTGTTAGGAAGTGCACAAAGTGAATATGATAGGAGGTTATATGTTGGATAAGTGAACAGAAATTGATGCGTGTTGCTCTATGTATTTCCTAAATGCCGTCTAATGATGTCGTGTCTCTATCGATGGGTATCAATCGTTCAAATCGTCTATGATGCTAAACTCGGTGGACCGTTGTACCATGCCAACCAGCCGTTTATGTTCGGATATTGCGTATATGTGTGACATGCGTACCGTATTATTTGCCGAATTTTGTCGGCGCCCAGTCAGTCAACCAGCCTCTGGCCTTTGCAAGATCACCACCCTCGGCTTCAAGTGCAGCAATGCACCATTCCCGCTCCCAAACACCTTCTGCAGCCAATATCTCGGCGGTCTTCTTACGACGCTGAGATGCCTCATCGACACAGAAGTGCATAGACTTCGAATAGTCTCTGATATCCTCCAGAAGTGGCTTTACCAAGGGCAGAGCAGCCGCAGCACTCGAGCCTAGGGGCTCCAGTCCCTGGTTGGCGCGACCTGTCTTGCACCATTCGTTTTGGCACCATTTCTTACCACAGCCTGTCATCAGCTGAGCAAGATACCTCCTCTCAATTCTCCTCCGTAATGCCTTGCCTTCAGGGTCATGCATGCTAACGTAGAGCGGAGAGAAACACAGGCTACAAAGGCCGAGGTCGTTACCCGGGCCCTGGCCCATTCGTGTTCCGCCGTTGATTTGCCCGCGAGGACCAACACCATGTAAAGTTCGCCCACAGAGCTCATCTCTGCATACCTCCGGCTTCGGGCGGGACACCTTGTCCAGCTCATGGTTTGTGGTGTGGGCAGCCATGTCCCTCAGACGGACAATGGCCCCGCAGAGATGACAATCGGTCGTGCGAGCACCATCGGCCCGCTCATGCGCGGTGAGGCCTGATATGACAGTCTCGGCTTCCGAAGCCGGATCGAGCGGGTCACCCTCCTGAGGAACCTCGAGGTGGCAGAACTGGCACAGGATAATTTTGCCGGGGCACACGGTCGTGCGGTGGCGCGCCAGTTCGGTCAATGATGGAAATGAGAATGGACTAGTCGGCCCGCAACATGGGCAGGTGTGGGTTGTGTGCTGGATGTAATCGTGCTTGGCCTTGCTGAATGGCGTTGAGCCGTATGCTTCTAGGTGCGTGGGACAGTGCCAATGGGCAGCCCACTCCTCGGATGATTTTTTGAAGACATTTTTGCAATGAGGGCAAACAATGTTATTTCGGAGGCAGAAGTTCTCGTGTAAGACGATCGTACGCTTTGGCACAAACTGTAAGCAGTTCTTGCACTGCTCCTCGTCGGCATTCTTTGAGGGTGAACTCGCGAGATCAACCGGTGCTGCTGCGGAACCTTGCGCCTCTTCAGCTTTAGCTCGGAGGGTATATCGTCGAGGTGTTGTTGTGGCAGAAGGTTGGTTTGGGACCGAGGAGCCATAAACTGATATCAAGAGGCTTTCCGCAACCTCGAGTTCAACGTTGGTAGGCTGGATAACGATGCGCTTTACACCATCATTTGGCGATGAGAAATCGGCAAAGATATGCTCGGAATCCCGAGGTAGCGCTCGTTGTCGGTTTGATTTGGGGCTAATGAGGAGGTCGACTTCTTGATCGCCTTCGATCGATAGCTCGATGGCAAGAGGGCGTGACCTGTCCCAAGAGGGTAGAGTGTAGTCAACATAGTCGCCTTCCAAAACCTGACCATGAGCATCCTTCCAGATGTCTATCTCATGGCCAACTGAACTCCCGGCCTCCGTTCCTGGTGCCCTTTGCGCCTTTTCGGCTATTTGCCGCAATGTTTCGCGAGCTTGCTCTTCGTTAAGCGGTTCGATGTCGACCTCGAGATCGGTGTCTACCACGCATATGCCGTTACCCTCGGGTTGGAATTTGTCGACAAGGAAACGGAACTCTTCTCCTTTCACACCCCGAACGGAGAGAATGGAGTCCTTTGTTAGGGTAGTGTAGCTGGCGCGAAGCTGTCTTTCGAGTAAAGATTTCCAGTCGTCTGGATTATAGCCGGCTTCTAGTGGACGTAGGCGTACATAAGTACCCTTTGGTAATTGGCGAGCCTTGACCGTGATTCGGTAGCCCTCAGTTATCTGGTTGACCGCATCATCCTCCGTTAGGTCGATAACCTCTGGCCCATCCGTTTGTGCATCTGCTGGCGGCGAGGTGTCCTTGATGTCATCCTCATGGATACCCAAGGCTTCGAGAAGATAAGGGCTTAGGGAAACCTCTCCCTCATTTGCTGAGAACTCCCGAATACCCGCAAAGACAGAATTTCCGTTCTTCTGGTTCACGAGTTGGAACATCAATGGATGCGGTAGCTGTTGCGTTGTTTCACGGAAATTGGAGCGCTCTCGACGTGCGGCAGCGACGGAGTATGGATTGTAAGGGTCGAAGGCGGTAAAAGTATGGGAGTTCGAAGGGGTTGTCGAGATGGTCGTCGAGGCGGAAAGGAGCTGCTCCAAGGCAGACTGTGGAAGAAGGATCTTGTCGCCCTGCAAGTCTTTGCTTGCGATGCGCGAAGGGTGCGCGACATTGAACGGCGCCGACCAGTTCAAATGCACCGATTGTTCATCCATCGTGTTGCGCGCGGCTGTTGCACTTTTGAATGACGTTGGGTTTGGATGTTTAAAACGGTGAGCGAAAATCGCGGGGCAGTGTCGCGGTGTTGAGCCAAGTTGCGGGATGTATTGGCTAGGGTGTTAGAGAGCGCTTGGGTATATTATGGCGGTATTAGATATTATGTAGAGGTGACAGCAATGGGCTTGATGCAAACGGTGGTTGAGTTGTTGGAATTTTCTTTCACACAAGAAGCGCGACAATTGCGAACGTTGATGATGATGGAAGAATCGCGGCGGATTTGCTCAGTCAGCAGAAGGGAAGATTGGTGAGCTGCGCAATTCGGAAGAAGCCTGAAAGCTTCTTGGAGATTCCATCCACTCCAACCACAGATTCAACCAATCACAAGACCGTGTCGCTGTTACAGTAGTGATCATCTCCAACGGGCGCTGTCTCCATAACCGGAGGTACTTGACAATGTACATGCACATCTACGTAATGGGTGTAAGATATGATAAGCTCTCGATGTCCTGAGGTCTTATTCATCCAAGCAGCTCCCTGGCTTGACGCGGGTGGCACAACCATCGAGGACTTATCATAAAGCTGAAGTGTGGTTCAGACCGAAGAGAAGTAGCAAAGATGAAGAGAGAGAACTTCATGATGAAAAAGATGGAAGAGATGGAATGGGATTGATGGCAGGCAACCTGCAAAGGGAAAGCGACGCTGACGGCATGATCTCCAGCGCTACCTTACCCCACCTCTAGGGTTGGCGGACAAAGTGGAGTCGAGGCCAGGGTAAGCAAGGTGGGGTCAGTGCTTGTCCCCGGCCTCGACCGATGCCACGACGGCGGGGAAGTCTGGAAGCGAGTCGGCGAAATCTCCAACTGCAAAACGAGAGTCTCAAGAAGATCCGGATGGCGCCATGTCACCTCAACCACCGACCATCGGACCAGAAGGAGAAATCATCAAAATTTCTACCAGTCACCTTGAGCGAGCCGGATCCCGTTGACGGTTCACCGCCTCCGGACACGGGCCGCACAACATAAAGGCCAAGACGGCAATGTTGTCCCTCGGGATCGAGCCATGAAGAACATTGAATGATGTTCTCTTTTGGCAGAAGGCCATTTTACCGGACTGTCGTCTGAGTCCGTCCGCGGGGGCTCTGTAAAAACCATTTCTTTAGACGACGCTAACAGTCACTAAAACCGGACCGCCCGGATGCACTTAATGACCAGACTATACGTACGATAAGATTTCTAGCTTCAACATTGGTCTGAAGCTTATTCCCAAGACCCTCTCCAGCTTCCCAGGCTTTCCTGCAAGTCGTCTCACACCATCATGCTGCCGTTGTTATCCATCTTGTTAGGAGAAATGGGTGTCCACGTGTCCAGGTCGACGGTACGCATCTGCATGTCGTCGACTCCAACTCGGTAGCTTTCCACTGGGATCAAAAAGGTCACCCACGTTGCAACACAGGGCCACCTTACTGGCACTCCGCCTTGATGACCTCCCGTCTGGCCATCTCGCCGCAGAGTCGCAGCATCCCGTCACAAAACCACCTGTCACGGAGCACAAAGCCCCTAGAATAACCTCCGCGGGGGATACATGAACCACGGTTCACACAAGGTGATACGTATGTTGGAGTATTTTATATTAGCAATCCTTGGCTCGTCGGGTGGTGTTCTACCCCAACCTCCATCCCTCACGACCCCAATATCCAATACGCTCCAAGTCGCGCATCACTCCTCAACCAAACACCTTATCTGATCCCAACAGTCAATCCAATGAGACTCTTTGTGTCGCACTGCTATCAAAGATAATCATCATGTCGATCCCCGCGGCTCGGATGGTTGACGCACAGACAAGACAGATCAGCGGTACTGGTACCCAAAGTCAAACAGGGCGTCGAGCTTGAGACAAGTTACGCCTCCAAGATCCCCCCCGTCTTTGTTTAGTGTACGTCTCCTCACAACCCCACACTATCTTGCAATCCAGATGGCGGGTTCACCACCTTCATCATCCAGAGTACCATCACAGCTGTGACCTCCATGATAGTCGAACCGAGTTTCACAGCGTGTCAACGTCGCGGCTCACAAGTACCACTGGACACTCTTGGCGTCAGTATCTCTCAGAATAGTAACTGCCGCCGATCGAGACTTTCCCCCTTGACCCTTGAACGGACCGATCCCAAGACCCCTCCCTCCCCACAACACTAGACGGCTATATCTACATGCATCATCCCTACTTTTGACCAAGACCCTTGGCTTTTTTCCCTGCTCGGAGGAGGTGTTTTAAAAACTTTTCTTTCCTCCCCTACAAGAGCTCTATTTCTTCACATCGTTACCGACCCTTCATCTTGACGTACAAATAATCATCTCACTTTGCCTCTATACGACCGTATACGGGAACTATGACACAAAACTCCAGCCTACCTACCGAGATCCGCCACAACGCCCTCCTTCAACTTCTTTCCAACTCGTTGGTCTTGAACCACACAACACCCTACCTGTCTTCCTACGATGTCTTGAATCTAGCAGCCACCTCGCGTACCTTCCGATATATCGTCTACTCCACGCCCCATATCTTTAGCCGTTTGGACCTTACTACTGTCAGGAAGGCACAGTACATCGACGAGAAATCCGGTCGTGGTGGCGAGCCAGATGGAGACCAGACGGAAGACGAGTACACACTCCTCCCTATCGTCCCATGCCTAATCGAACGTCTGCTGACATGTTCATTCTCGGGACAGCGTCTACTCGGGCCAACTCCGTCGTATCTTTACCAGTCTTCGGTGCCTTGATATCCTTCGGCATGTCCAAGTCCTTTGCCTCGACGGACTCTCCGTCACCTCCGAGCTAGTCCACGAAATCCTCACCGAACCGACATACTCGGTCAAGATCCTCTCGATCCGTGATGTGGTGAACATGAACGAAGGGAAGCTCCGTGCTACCCTGCAATATGCCTGTCGACCATCAAGACCTGAGGGGACACCGCGCTTGAAGGGCCTCTACGTTTTTGGGCCCAAGGACTCGGCACGCCCTGCCTTGACCAGCTCGGGAGCATCTACTCCGACCTCAACATGCTCATCGATCTCGTGGGACGCCGGTGCTGGTGGAGCTGATCAGGAGCCCGAGGCGTGGTATGCCAAACGCGGCGCTCAGTTCCCAGCCCTGGGTGGAAGTGGAAATGCTTCCAAATGGACACCATGGGCCTCCACACTCGTCGCATGCCACGGCATCATCGCCTTCGACGCCGTCCTCTGCACCGGGCCAAGACACCTAAACTCTCGCGCGTGGGGAACAGTGGACATCCAAGCGCTGAACGCCGCGGGCAATCCAGCATCAGCAGATGTCCCCATCCACGCTGTCGCCACGCACAGCCTGGGCGGTTGTGCCGGCTGCGGCTCAGCTCCCGAGGGATGGACGATCTGGGGCGAGGAACCGCCGACAGAGCGTGATCCCTACGAGAGAAGGGCAAGCGAAGGCGGCACGATGACAACGGATATCGGCCGGTTCCCATTGCTTGCGCCGCCGCCTATGCACTCGGTCAGCCTGAAATCTGCCATGTGTCCGACCGGCCAGTCGGTCTATACCCGTCTTTCGCAGTTTAGGAGCAAGGGCGAACAGGCCCGATTCATCCCGCGCTGCTATGACTGCATCCGTGATCGGTACTGCACGACCTGCAACAAGTGGTGGTGCGAGGCGTGTTACGTTGGACCTTGGGCGTCGGTTCCTGATGGTGAGGCTTCGCGAGCTAAGATGGCTGATCTTGTAAGTGGTTCCCATGTTCCCTGTTCCCTGGAGAGCAGTTTTTTTTCTCTCGGGACTATCTTTCCCAGATATGTCGCCTGAATGCACAGTTCGCTAACCTCACTCCAACCCTAGGCCCGAGTATCCAAGAGTTGCTGGGAGTGCGGCATGAACGTAAGCCGATACCCCAAATCCAGTTCCCTAACACCAGAATATCCCCTACTTACACTTCCTGTTGCCAGTGTCGCGACTGCATCAACGACACCCAAAGAATGTGCCAACGCTGCGGCGGAGGCTATTGTATGATTCATAACGAGGGTTCGAACCATACCACTGTGAGTTGCTCCCCTACCCATTTCTCCCGAAGGCCCCTTCCGGAAGTTTCGAGCGATATTTTGCTGACTTGATACCTTTTCTGCTCAGTGCGACTGGTGCTCCGCTAGAGGGAGGGCCGGTGTGAGACACCCTGAGCTCTACTAACTGCACAGTCGCTTCACCCTCATGCGACATCACGGCGTGAAGTCGGTGTCCTGGGTAGGCAGAAGGTGGAAGTTTTCTCGATGAGTTGGGCTTCCGGTTGGTTGACGTCGAGGACGCATCTCTTCTGGTTTGTTTTGTTTGCTGCTAGTTTTGGGTTTTTTTGTCGGTTTGATGTAGTGATACCCTGATGTTTCGGCGTTTTGCGTTTAGGTTGGTCTGATGAATTTTCTCTTTTCGGGAGTCTGGAGCTTCGAGGACAACTCACCTCTGTTCATGGATACCATGCTGTATATACCTTATCCAAGTCTCCCATCTTCAAACAAAGTGTCGTTTATGGCACAGTTCGTTGCATGTTTTCGCGTGACGTGTGCGTGTTGCAAACTTGGGTGCACCATAACTAATAATAAACAGTGGACAGTGGACATGCACTCGGCAACCACGGAAGCCATGGCATCCGGGATCTCCGCCAGTCCCGGGCCGTCAATCGCTGCGGCTCTTTTCCCACGTGTCGTTGTAGAGGTACGACTCCAGGTAGGCACGTATACAAACTTTAAAATATGTACCCTTTCCCTTCAGCCCTGCCAGGGCTCTTCTTTCGGTCCGTTCGGGGTTTCCGGGATCATTTCTATAGTGTACATTCTAATTACGTACTACCGGTTGATGCGTGTTGAAGATCCGCTCCCGTGGATCCGGAACGGAGACAAACCCGACGCACGGTCGCCCGGCTCGTAGGGTGAGAAGTCTCGAACAACCAAGGGGGTCCATTCTGACCAATCAGCGATGGACAATAATCTTAAAATGGCAGGTTGGCAAATGGCACCTCGGTGATGAACACATGCAGAACCGACACCCCGTAATTAATAAACATGCTTGAGACTTAGATCTCGAAAGTCTAAAATCATGCCGAGGTTGCACGGTAATCAAGGTCCGGTCATTCAATCTATCCGTTGTGAATCCATTCAATCGGTAACGAAAATCATTCCAGCGGGATGGCTCAGCGGGGTGGGTGGCACATGGCATCAGGAAACCTCCCTCGGACAAAGAGATGTTTCCATTTCCCGAACGTCTGGACACCTCAGTCCTCACCCAGGAAAGGCCAAGACAATCCCAAAATCTCACGGCACGGCATCCCCCAAATTTATCGGAATGTCAATCAATCAATCAATCAAATCCCGCGCTTGCTCGTGCACAACACAGCTTGACAAAAATGGATGCCCAGAAAACGCCAGGGACGGGAATGCCCGCACTTACATGATGACATGACGACGGGATGGGGGCTGCATCCATCCTGTCGGCCCATCGGCTGGCTGGCTGGCCCGTTGCATTTGGCCGCGACCGACACTGGAAATCGAATACCTAATCTGGAATTTGCGAGATCTGGGCAAAAAAACAGCTTCAGGTTTTTAAAGCACTATCACACATCACTCAAGGAGGCAAAAGGAGAAGACCAAGCAGTGAATCTGGGCTGAACTGAACAGAACTGACCGCCGCTGCGACCGAAGCGCACTGCATCATCATCACCGCTCCGGTAGAACGCAAGGAAAACGGGAAAATGCCCTGGCAAGTTCCGCTTCCCCCCTTGACTTGATCAGATCAGATCAGACAATTCGGTGATCTGATGGGTCGAGATCAATTCCAACTGAACCCAGCACTCCCAGCTTCTTGGTTCGGACAAGAACTCAAGACCGATTGATGGATCTGTCAATTGTTCTCCGTGTTCTTCCAGAACACCGCCAACAAGCGAACAGGAACAGCGAACAGGGAGCAAATCCCAGAATGAGAGAGGTCCAGTGCCTGGATGCTTAACCTTAAACCGCCCCTGTATTTCCGCTGAGTCACCATGGAGTTTTCAGTTGGCGAGATTGGTGGTGTCCACTTGCGGTTCTTTCTGGAGTTTTGGGGGGCAGGGGGCCATGGAGGCGTGCTGGCGTGCTTGGACTGGACTCCTCTGGGAGGCGCTCATTTTAGGATTTGTGGATTTGTGGAAACTGGGAACTGGGTAGAATCCGTGACCGAAAGGATTGGAAAAGGGTGATCCTTTCGTTTGTTCCAGGTTGTTCAAGTCGTGCAGAGTGAGGCATGATGCAAGAAAAAAAAGTCAGTGTTCGTCATTCATTCTCCGTCTTTGAGACCGCCAAGTTGTCTCAAGTTGTGCAAGAGCCCGCCCAGCGCCGCCCGGAAGGAACAGGCACAAAGCGGGCGAGGGTTCGGGGTTAAAGAGCCGCCCGGGCAGGGGCTGCCCCCGGTAGGGATCGCCGTTGGACGGGTGGGCGGGTTCCGGCAGTTGTGGGTCCCCATTGCACAAACTTTATGCACAGCGAATGTACGCCATTCATAAGCTTAAATCCTGTGGATTGGCGCGCCCCCGGATCTTCGACATCCGTTGTCCACTTCCCCAGATGGCGCTGATGGACAGAACCAAAACCGTGACGACAGAACAGTCTCACTTATTCGGTCGACCGTGACCCTTTCCGACCGGAAAACCGGCACAAGGAACAAGCTTTCATTATCACAGCTGACACCGTTATATCTGCAACAGTTTACACGGCTCGTGGTGTTTGGGTTCTATCCATATCACTTTCGGCTGATTCCCTTTCTTTTCTCCCGACAGAGAGATACTCCGACCTGGTCAACAGAAAAGGGGAGAGAGAAGAACAGTTCTAGCGGACTTCTTTTACCGCCTCCATCACCGAGACATCATGCTCAAAAGATCTACAATCGAACCGGACTGGCCATGACTTCACAAGCCCCCCATGTCCGTTCTCGGGACATCACAAATCTATGAACTGAGATCCGTTCGGGTTGGTACCTTGGCTATCGATGCCCGGGTGGCGCCCCGGAGCGGTGCCAGCATGGGCCTCGGATTTGGTCTCTGCCCAGATTGCCCAGAATGCATTGCCAGATTCGACGACCTTCCCTTGTTGTTAATTCCGTTTGTGCAACACTAGTGCATTTCAGTTAGGGGAGGGCCCCATGGCCCCCATCATCCCCATCACCTAGCCCACCCCCCGGCCCCCGGTCCCCGGTGCTCATCACCAACCTGAACGGGGTCTCGGGCTTGTTGGTTTTGCCGCCAGTCTGACCCCAGTGAAGAATAATGAAAGGGATTTGTGCAGATGCCTCGGGTATTGAGGCTTATGTTGGCCGATGGCCCCCTACGGCTCCAAGAGTACAAAAATACAAAACCTTCGCTGATCCTCCTCTCGGAAACCATTCTGATATTCCCAATCCAGTCAACCGACTTACAACAGCCATCCCCTTCAGGCTTCCCCCGTCAACCAACCCCTGGTATTTCAGACTATACCAGTTCAGGTTCAGAACATTAGACAACAATGGCGGACTCAAAGGCACAAACACCACGGGATTCCGGCACCTTCGACAAGGAGAAGCCGCTCGACTTTGATGTGGAAAAGGGTCAACAATCAGATCTCGATGGCGCAACAATCCAAGCTCATTCGGAACGGGGTGTATCAGCCGGCAGTGATGGAGTCACCGGAGATAAGGAGACGGAGCAGGATCCCAACATCGTCGACTGGGACGGACCCGATGACCAGGAGAACCCCATGAACTGGCCCGACAAGAAGAAGTGGCTCAACGTTGGCGTCCTTTCCGTCCTTACCATCCTTACGTGAGTCCCCTTTTTCTCTTCCCTCTCTAACCTTACCCAGTGACCCCACAGCCCAGAACTAACATGCCCCCCCCTATTCAGTCCCCTGGGCTCATCCATGTTCGCCCCCGGTATCCCGAAGATCTTGAACGAATTCCATGAGACATCTTCCATCACGGCCACCTTCCTGGTATCCATCTACATCCTCGGCTTCGCCTTTGGTCCCCTCCTGGTCGCCCCCCTCAGTGAGATGTACGGCCGTAGGCCCCTGTACAACTTCGGCAACATCCTCTTCACCATCTTCACCGTCGGCACCGCCCTCAGCAAGAACACGGGCATGCTCCTCGCCTTCCGTTTCCTCATGGGTCTTGCCGGTTCCGTGCCCATCACCATCGGCTCCGGCTCCATCGCCGACGTCATGACGCTCGAGAACCGCGGCAAGGCCATGTCGCTCTGGGCCCTCGGCCCCATGCTCGGCCCCTGCATCGGTCCCATCGCCGGTGGCTACCTCGAACGCGCGGCCGGCTGGCGCTGGGTCTTCTGGCTGATCACCATCATCGGCGGCTGCCTTATCCCTTTCTCCTTCCTCTGCCTGCGCGAGACCTACGCGCCCGTCCTCCTCGAGCGCAAGGCCGCCCGCCTCCGCAAGGAGACCGGCAACCCCAACCTGCGCTCCAAGCTGGCCAGCAAGGTGTCGGCGGCCGAGACCTTCAAGACCGCCATCGCCCGTCCCATGAAGCTGCTCATCTTCGAGCCCGTCATCACCCTCATGTCGCTTTACGTCGCCATCACCTACGGCATCCTGTACATGATGTTCACCACCTTCACCTTTGTGTACTCTGAGCACTACGGCTTCGACGAGGGCAGCATCGGCCTGGCCTACCTGCCCACTGGGCTTGGCATGTTCATTGGCGTTTCAACTTTTGGTTATCTCTCCGACAAGATCGTCAGGGACCGCCAGGCCAAGGGCCTCGTGCACCGCCCCGAGGTCCGCCTGATCCCCTGGTTCACCATCCCTTGCGGTCTGCTTCTTGTCGCTGGCTTGTTTATTTACGGCTGGACCGTCCAGGAGCACGTCCACTGGATCGTGCCCATGCTCGGTGTTCTCATCTTCTGCGGCTCGCTCATGGGCATCATGATGTCGGTCCAGTCGTACCTGCTCGAGGCTTTCCTGACGCAGGCCGCCAGTGTTACCGCTGCGCTTGCCGTCCTGCGTTCGCTCCTGGGTGCCCTCCTCCCGCTTGGTGCCCTTGATCTGTACCAGAGCAAACTCCATTTCGGCTGGGGTAACTCGCTTTTGGGCTTCATTGCCTTGGCGTTGGTGCCTATTCCATTCGTTTTCTACGTTTATGGCGAGAGGTTGAGGAAGAAGAGCCGCTTCAACAAGGCCAACTAGGTAGATACCCAAATGGGATATGTTGGGGTTGTTTTTTTTTGGAAAGCAAAGAGTTGGATCAAAAGTTGGAGACCAAGAAGTGAGGAGAGCGTTGCATTTTCTTGCCGGAGTTTTGGGCTTTGAAATTTCGCATGATATCGATACTATAGAGCGATCACTGATAGAGATCGCATACATTGCATGGCGTTTTGGGTACCTAATATCTGCATTGCAAGATAGTTAGAAGCAGCAACCGTGGGTTGCGAGCTCAGAGTTATGTTTTGATGGGAAGATTTGTATGAGATAGGAAGATGTGATGGATGATGCGAATGCAAATTATCTCAACTCACCTATGCCGTCTTTGATAGTCATGGTAATAAAAGTGTGATCTCTACATCTGTTTGTTCTGTTCAGTGGTGAGAGCCTGGAAGTAGTGGTCCATCAGTAGCTGTTCAGGGTAAGGAAATGAAGGTGATTACCATAATTTTACGGACATGTGTCGATAACCAAGTCTACTTAGTAAGTCAACGCCAAGATATGTATTGTAGAGGTAAATTTCCGCTCTTGTTCCTACACCCTTATTTGAAGACTGTAACAATTATCAGAGTCGTCTGAAAATCGAAAGTCTTTCTCGAAACCGTCATGATTGAGGCCGCCTTGCTTGTGCGTTCAATGTGAGCAAGCGCTTCAAACCTTGCTCGGGTTAGATGGAGGCCCTATCTGACAGCTGCCCCTTTTTGTGTGTGGATGGCTAGGTCCGGTGTTATTAGATTTCACGCCGTGATACTTGCTGGAATCTGCTCAATTGTTGAAGTTGTCGAAGGTTGTAAAGAACAAACCTGTAGACATGCGTCATACGTCATCGCGGCATGTGACATGAATCCATTCATCGACGAATCGTACCTGCGCATGCAGAGCAACCAACGGAATAGGAACTTTGTGTTTGGACATCTGTTGACGAATTGGAGTGGGCAAAAAAGGGGTCCAGAAGACAAGAGGGATCACGAAGCGTGTCTGTCGGTTGTTTCTATCCAAGAGAAAAGAGACACATAACAGCGATGCGTCTAAGTCATCCATGTAAGGTCTCCCCTGCTGTTGGGAGCGGATACCGTTTGTTCCAGGCACCGGGGAGAAGCTGTTCTCCACCATTGGAAGCATGGTGGACATGGCCGAGGTAAACGAACCAAGTGTCGGTTGGACGTTGACAGACGAAGTAGAGCATGAGGTGTTAGATAAGCGATGCTTTGCTAAAAGGAGATTATTGATAGCAGCAGTGATAATTGTCAGATTCCAGCTTGATAATGTGGTTGCGCGTAGGGCTGAGAACCGGGAAGGGTGGTAACTCGGCGCGGTGCGCGGGGTTCCATATGAATGACATGATCCGGAGCCGGGGTTTGACTGGGGAGCCGACTGAGTGTTCCATTCAAGTCACGCCCAAATGTGTACGTACCGGCACCGCAGCAGAGTGTGGTGAGAGTGGACTTGGTGTGGAACAGAGAAGCTGGAAGCTAACGGAATGTCTGCGAATGTCTGGAAGCAATCAGGGTCTTGGCGATTGGTTGCTTCGGAGTAAAGTGATTGCCATCATTGTACGACGAGAACGGTGTGGGCGATGAAAATATATTCCTCAAAAAAAAACAAGTCATGGCATTTGCATGGCGGGGCAATGACACATGCAATTGTTGCAACGGTTCAGAGATGGTGTCTTTGTGTTGACAAGGGAGATGTACAGGCACAATTGTCTAAAGTGCACGGGCCATTTGATCCCCACGCCGAGAACTGCCCCACTGAGATCCTAGCTTTAACCAATCCGAGAAGCGGACTAATTTTTTCCTGGCGGGGAGGGAGTCAAAAATTTGGCATCATCACTTTTCGAATTCTGAGGTGCTCGGGCTTGCACTTGCTGCTGTTGTTCTGCCTGCCCCGGCCGCAGCTCTTTGCACTCTTGCCGAGACCGAACCTGGAACCGTACCTTGACGCACTTCTGCCAGTGGCGTCAAACCTGAACCCTCTTCCATCGACACGACTCGGATCCGAGGCCATCTCGAACTCGCTTACCTTCCTTCCCTGAGCTCTTGACAGGTCGAACTCAGCTTCCGCTCAGGTCCAGTGTCACTTATAGGTTCGTCCGCCATCGTTGCCTTGTATCTTTCCTCACCCAAACCAATGGCAACCTAGAAGGGTTCGCATTGCTGCCCCCCTTCCTTCAAACACCTCGCGCAGCTCCGTATGCCACCTCTACGTTTGCCTCGTCCGCCTTTCACCACCGTCTTAATTAAACCTCTTTCTTGTAACCATTCTAACTCAACACTGATACAAACAGAAGAGGAACAGCAAAACGGCGTCTCGCATTATACCCACCTAGCTTGGCTGCTTCCATCCATCTTACGATTCGAGAATTGAAAAGGGACCCACGTCGAAATTCTTTGCTAGAACCCATCGGAGCTTCAAACATAACCCGGCCACCGTCTTTCATTCACAACTGCTCGGCGTTTGGAAATTGGAGCTTTGCGATATCTCAGCTCTCGGTCAGCTCTCGGTCAGCTTCTCGTCACTTCAACCTTGCTGTCCTCTGCTGCCTCTTCCCGGACCTGCCACTCGACCACCCGCATCCCCGACCTGCGCTTCCGGTCTGCTTTTCCACTTGGCTTCGCCTTCTTTTGTCGGCCCCGTTCGTCAGCTCTACCGCCTGTCACAACAAGTGAAGCAGACAATTCCCACGTTCCGCAGTCATGGCGCCTCCTAACGAGGCGGGCACACCCGCGAACCCCGGCGGCACCAGGCGAGCACCCTACAACGTCATTAAGCCCGTTGTCCCTGCTCTGCCGCTCGGCTTCCCCCAGCGTCCGGTCTCTACCACCAAACAGGCCAATCCTTTGGCTCCTGCAGTCGTAGCTCGGAGCCAGCCTGTTGCTTCCGCCGCCCAAAGAGCAGTCAGTTCGGACCTTCGCGATCGACAGCAAGGGCAGCCGCCCGCCGAATCGGCAAAGAACGAGGAGAAATACAATGGTGCACCCCTGCGTGGACCGCAGCCCGTTCAGCATAATGGTACCAACGTCAATGCTCCGCCAACTGAGCCTATGCATCAACAAGGAACAGGTATGAAAGCTCTTTTATGCGTGCTGCATGTAGCTCACTTGACTACTTGCTGTCAGCTTGGCAACATATCTATCATATAATAGCCTGTACTGACATCCATCTATAGACGTGCCAACTGGTCGCCCCATCTTCTTTGACCCTGCGCCCCCGTCCGGCAACACGTTCCTACCTCGCTCTTCTCATCACGCACCCTCTCAGAGTACGGGTTCCTCCTCAACTTACATTCACGAAGCCCCAACAGCCATGCCTCAGCCGACCATCATCTACCGGCCCCAGGCTGCCTTTCATCAAGGCCACCCTAGCAACGCCGGTCTGTTTTTTGGAGGACTGAACGACTCTGGGGCTTCATCGCCCGCGCCCCACCCAATGGCCCCCTTTCCTCCTCCTGGGGGTCTACCTTATCCTCCTGGGACGATGCCTCCCCTCGATGGCTACGGGCGGCCGTTGCTAGTTTCCCCCACCGTTGATGGCTATCCCGCGGCTCTCGTCAACCATCATGGCCCCCCCACGCCCCACAGTGTCCACGGCTCGCAGTCACCTGTTCATCCTGGAGATCACAGCTTTGGCCAGCTCGGGTCTGCCAACGGTCAGAGTGTCAATGGCCAGAACGGGCACTCCGCTAACTGGGTTAACCAAGGTGCGTTGCCCCCGCAGGAGCTGAATCCACCTGTCAACAGTTTGCCCCAACCCAATACCTCCGTTATGGCCTTCCAGCGAGAGCAGGACGCAATCTTGGACTTCTTGCGTAACGCAGCAAACAACAACCTCTTCAACGACTGCACGCTTCAAGTCCAATTCAAGCCCGGCCAAATGTTTCGGGAAATTCCTGGGTATGAGAGGTTGTACGAGCCTTTAGCAATCCCGGCGCATCGTTTGGTTCTGGCTCGCAGCCCGACACTGGCCAGGATCATGGAGTTGCAGGGTACCGGCCCAGGAGGAGTGGTTTCATTGGAGCTCGACAACGAATATGTGCGGTCTGACACCCTCATGTTCGCCATCCGTTCCCTGTATGGTTGGACCCTTCGAGGCTTCCTTCCTTCGCACTTTCCTCCACGCGCCGTCATCGAAGAATTCAAGCTCGCTCTCAGTTATATCACGACCGGCCGCTACCTCCAGCTACCGCACGTGTTCTCGTTCGCTGTTCACCGTGGTGCAGAGTTAGTTTGCTGGCCCACGATTGAACTTGCTACCGAGTTTGTTCTGAAATCCGCCGTCTTTTCTTCCCAGCAGGAGGGAGCCCCGGTTATCACCGAGCTCATCGACAGCGTTCTTCACTTCCTTGCGCACAACATCCCGCAAGACTTCGTCCTTGACACAAGCGTGGGTGACTTCGGTTTCCCCAGACTACCGGCCGAGACACGTCAGGCTTCCGCTCCGCCTTCTGCCGCCCCATGCGACCCTCAATCCTCGCCCAACGAACCTGCGCCGGCTACCCAAGCACCATCACGACTCTCAAAGGGGTCTATCAACCCCAGGCTGTTGCAAATTCGGTTCGGAGACCTCTCCCTCGGGGCGGAGAATGGCCAAGGATCGCCCAAGCAGGCCGAGAGCCCACGTAGCAATCCTGCGCCGGCGCTGAACGACACCGTCCTTTCACGCATCCTTCTAAATCTGCCGTTCGACATGCTCAAGATTGTCATGGAGAATAGCCCCAATATGCGTCAGAACATCGTCAACGAAGTTGTCCAAGAACGCGAAGTCAGGCGAATGCGTGCATTGGCGAAGCATACTGATGTTCTTGGTACTTTTGCGAGGCCCGCATTGGTCAATGATATGCGGGACTATTGGTATAACAACATGGGATTCAAGGAGGAAGTGTTCTCGGGAGACGGCGCTTACCTTGTCCGTACGTGGATCCACGGCGAGGAAGCAAGCCCTTGAGACGAATGAAGACGACCGTGGGCGTCAATTAGTAGCGGGTGGTGAGCTCTCGACATTTACGACTTGATGAACCTCGCGAATCGGGTTTGACGTGGGAGCTCGTTTTGCTATATCGCCTTTTCCCTGGGTTGCACGGAAGGCTTCTTTTTTAATGCTGTTTGTTTCATGTTACTCCATTATCTGTTTGCATTGCGACCGGAGTTGTACGAGTAAGGAATCGCCGTTACCATGGTTAACTTGGCATGACAAGTTTCGAAGTACACGAGCGGTTTCTGTTGTTATGTAGGAGGGATTTCTTCGGACTCTAGCACGTCGGCGCGATGAATGCCGTTAGCGTTCATCGGGCTCTAGGAGTGTGCTAGGACTGCGACTCTGCGAGGCAGAGATATGAGGTCTCGGTCTTTTTTCCCTTTTCTATTCTTGCTTGCATTCATATGCCGAGGAAGCAGGCGATGGTGGCGTTTGGGCGCAATGGATGCAAGCCCTGGATCTTTTATCTTCCTATTCAGGTCGTCTTGGTCATGAAACGGGGGCAGCGGAGCTTGCCCAACGGTATCCAGCATGGTTGGAAGGATGTCATTGCTTTGGCGGGAACCGAAGCTTATCCAGAATCTTTCTTCTGGCGGAGCGAGGATGGTTTGGATTGGGATCCGACTCGGGCTTTGTGGCGTTGCTTACTTTTTTATTGTTGTTTTGCAAGGAGCGGTTAGCGAGTGGCTGTTTCCGCCATACAATGGATTGAGAAAGCGGATTCAGCCGTTATGGCCTAAAGAGACGATGCAGGAAGGAAAACATACTAAAATACCCATGGACGTTGCGGTTTCACCGGAGGAGATAGATGGTGGACATGAATGAGCTTATGAGCTTTGAGCAGGGCTACATGGTAGTAGGTAATTCTCGCTATGGCTTCCAAGATATTTTAGGTAGTCGGTTGTAAAACAAAATTGTACAGCATTACTTTTATCATCCCGTTCATCTCGGTGTTTATGTTGTGTCTGTTGACTTGGGTTTGGTGTTTTGGAAGAAAAAAGCGATCGATGCCCTGCATGGAGACGGGAATGACGGCATGGTGGAGGATAGCTGCGCAGGTAGCATCAGGACCCCTTGTGAGTGTGGGGAGAAGTGCGCTAACCTGATTGGGAGCTGCCTACATGAGCTCCCTTTAGCTTTGTAAGGGGTTTCCTTGCTAAACAGCCACTCAGGGAACTAGGAAATACCGAGGCTGGCTCGCTTGGGGACAGCACGTGGAACTGTGGAAGCGTCACTCGGTGACTGCAGTCGAAGTCTCACTTGCTGACTGGATGCCCAATTGAACCCCATTTCCATCTCCCCTCACCGAATCCATCTCCACAATAAACGGGCGGCGTGACAGACGGCCGCTATCTTTCGACCTTGGACTGTTTGTGACGACATCACGCGACGAATCGCGCCGACATAGGGTCTACCACGATCAAGGGTAACACAGAAGCAGGAGGTTAGACAGCGGACGGAAAGGGAGGAGAAATCCGAGACGTAATTCAGGGAGTTGAGTCGCGACAAATCGTCGACGTCGATTGGGAATTGCCTCGACGGCCGGCATCAATCACACCAACCGACGAGCTGTTCCGACAGCAGAACAACAGACCGAACCATCCAAGCATACCCAGGAGTCAACTAGACTTTGTCCGAACTCGGCGGCGCGTTCCAAGATGGCCTCAAGAGCCTCCGCCGGCGCAGCCGCAGCAGGCCCTCGAGCCAGCCCCAGCCCAGGAGGCCCGGGAGTCACGGCCAAGTCCACCTCGGATCCCATTCTTCGCAATGCTCTGCGATACACCATCTCGGCTCGCGAATACGCCGTGCTGCACAAACACGTCATCTCCAAGTCCAAAACACTGAAGAAACGGGCACCGACAGTCGATACCGTGCAGAGAATCATGGACGGTGAACTCCAGAATAGGGGTCGCGGTGGTGGTGGTCAGGCATTGCGTGCCAGTGCCAGTGGTAACGCTTCTTCCGGCGACAAGGGATCGAAGGCGAAGGCTAAAGAGGAGGTATTGGCCAGGATTGCTGGCAAGGGAGCGGGTGCCGACGATTACAATGCGAGGGCGATTAGACACTCGCTGCGCGTGTTCATTGCGACAGGCGCGTTGATGAAGCTGTGGGGGATCGTGTCGGCGAGGGTTCTAGGGAAGAAGCAAGGGTACGTTAACCGTTCTCTGTACACCGTCGCATGGTTATTTCCTAGGGTGGGAATTGCATCATATCGGGAAGCTAACATGGGAGCAGTGGTGCTGCCAGCGGTCAGAAGCAACCGCTTCACAAGTCGCCCACCCTCCGGCTATCCGTATCACTCAGCACCATCTTGCTGATGTACCGACTTCTTTTCCGCTTCTTCACGCGCCTACGTGCTCACTTGCTGGACCCTACGGCGGCTCCCTTCCGGATTCGCAACCCCAAGACTACGCTCACACTTACGTCGCCGTACGCCCCTGCCGTCGGCGCCTCTCTGGCTGGTCTTGCGCTGGGTGTCTATCCGAGCCAGCAGCTACGTGTTTCCATTGCCGTGTATGCGCTCTTCAGAGCACTCGAGTTCGGATGGAATTGTGCCGAGGATAACGGCATGGTATGGGGTTGGGATAAGGGCACCCATGGCAGGCCGGATAAGAAGCGGGCGAGGCCGTGGTGGTGGGGAAGCTGGATGTTGCAGCCCTTCGCCTTTGGCCAACTGTTGCATGCCGCCGTGTTCGATCGGGACTGTTTCCCTACGGTAAGTTCACTATCCAGCTGGATCGAGAGAAGTGATGAGCTAACGTGAGATCATGTAGGCATATGGCGACTTCATCTTCAAGCACTCGACGGCCTATCTCCATGCCAGGCCCGAGGATTTCCCTCTCAGCCTGAAGTGGCCCAAGGTTTACGAAATCATCGACAGCCTCGCCACAATGGCCAAGCTGAACTGGCCGTACGTTTTTACCCCCTTCCCTTGCTCCTCCTTGACCCTGACTAACATGCCCAACAGAGCATTCATCTCCCCCGTCCTCTTCCCAGGCAAAGAAGACACCCTCCCAGCCTCCCTCTCCGCCATCGCCCCCCTCACCTCGGGCGCCCACCCACTCATCACATCCCTCTCCTGCGCCACCCTCCACCCTTCCGACCCGTCCTGCACGCGCACCTTCCTTACCTTCTGGCTGCGCTCCTTCCCCCCGCTAACCAAGATCCTCCTCCTCGTCTACTCGGCCATGGTCCTGCCCCGCTTCAGCTCGCTCTACCACTACCCGCTCTCCACCATCCAGGGCATCATCTCCAACGCGCTGCGCATGTCGACCTTTCTCACGGGCGCCCTGGGCACCTGGTGGAGCAGCATCTGCTTCTTCCAGACGTGGCTCCCGCGCACGTTCATGCCCACGCAACGCTTTTTCTTGGGAGGCTTCCTGGCCGGCTTCTGGGCGTATCTGGAGAAGAAGAAGGGCAGGCCGATCTTCTTGCACACGGCCAAGGCGAGCTTGAATAGCCTTTGGAAGGTCGGTGTTAAGAGGAGGTGGTGGCGGGCGATGAAGGGCGGCGATGTTTGGGTATTCGTAGCGGCGTTGGCGCTTACGGGCGTGGTGTATGAGAGGGACGCCAAGGCATTGAAGGAGGGGAATTGGAGAAAGGGTGTTTCTTGGGTGAGAGGTGAGGGGTGGAGGGATTGGGTGGAGACGTTGGAGATTGAGGGCGATGAGGCGGATGAGAAGGAGGACCTGAAGCTTTATGAGCGGGAGATTGAAGAGGATGAGTCGGAGGAGGAGGGTTTGAGGTACTGAGCTGGGAGGTCCCTGATTTGAAGGGTTGGAATGGAGAGGGAAAATGGGGGTTTTGGTATAGTGGTGGAAAAGGGGGATGGGGGTTCTTGCTGTGCGAGCAGCCCTCGATGGATTGGCTGGCTGGCTGGCTGCCTTTTTGAAGAACAGACATTAAAGACGTGACGGAGTGATGGTTGCTTAATGGCCTTGCCAATGATTGATTGGGTGTACGTAGGTAGCCTGCGTACTTGTTTGATGTATATACCCTTCTTTAGATGATTCTTGTTACATACATATAGAGCTTGACTTACCGCACCGTAGTCGATGTCCTTATGCACCCTGTTTTGACTTCGCGCACCCTCTTTTCCCTATATATTAGCCGATAACAGCTAATATGTAAAAGTCTACGTTTTGTATAATAAAACCCACTTTTAAAATATTTTATAACATTCAACCGTATGCTAAAAAAAATTTATCGAAGGTTGGAACGGTAATTATAAGTGCTAATGCTATTAGTATAGTGGTAATTACTTTTAGTACGTTTGTTAGGAAATGATTATTGATTATTATATTTGTAAATTGGTAACTTATTAATTTAAGAATATTTAAGTTGGAATTTAAACTATAGTTACTATTAGCGATAAAGAGGAAATTTTTAATTATATTCTAAACAAGTTAGTAGTTAACGTTAATAAGTAAGGAAGGTTTAATACCTTGGTTCGATTATAGATAGCTATTTATAGTAAAATAGCTAATTATAAAACCTTATTCGATCGGTAAGAAAAGAATATTTGGATACTTTGTATAAAAGTTAAATTCGAATTAGCTTTCGATTTTCTCCTAAATAACGCCCGCGCTATATAGGAGAGAAAGAAGAAAAGTACGGATAATTAAACTAATATATTCAATATTAATATTATAAATTATTTTTACTATTAAGATAGTTCTAATATTAAATAATTAATTTATTAGAAGAGCGAGGGAAAACGAGAAGTGATTTTAATTCATCGGTTATTAATTACGCCGCTTAATAATATATCCTTTTACTTTGTAAGTATATATTAAATTACCGAGGGTAATATTAGTCTATATATCCCTAATTAAATATATAATTTTAATAAATTTATTAAAAATGAAAGCGAAATTATAGATGAATCTTCGGTCGAATTAATAAGTTTGCTAAATTCTATTAAAATAGAAATATTAAATTCCGTTAGGATAGAAATATTTGGCGAAAGTAATATTTAATCGCCCGTTGAGTATTATAAGAAGCTATTTAATTATTAGGCTATAGAATTATATATAAAGGATTTTACTTTTGAAAAGGAATTGGAAGATATAATTATTAAAGTGCGTTAAAAGGAAGAATGGTTAATTAAAGTTACAAAATCTTTAAAAAAGAGAATTAATAAATAGATATTGTATTTTAATTAATTAATTTAATATTGCTATTCGAAATAAAATAATAAAAAGGATAGTATATTAGAAGAAGAAATAAGAAAGAAAAAGGAAGCTTTAATTACTCTAATCGACGAAGTTTCTTTTTTTTAATTAAATTATTAAGTGCTTTTGTACGTCCGAAGATATTGACGATAATAAGGTAATATTTAATAATTACCTTCGTTTCGATTTCTAAGAAACGTTTATTATATTTCCGGTATTTCTACCTCCGACCCTAAATAATAACCGTAAAGTTATAGTAGAGAATAAGCTGATTAATTTACTAATTCCTAATTTTAATAAAGAAAATATATTATTTAAAGAGAATTAAATTATACGAGCCCTTATTAAATTAAAGTATAAGGACGGTAAGTCGATAAAGGTTATTAATCTTTAGGAGTTTGCTAATACGGCGATTGAAACTTTAAAGGATTAATTTCCTATATTTAAAAAGGTAATACGAATTCATACTCCGATTATGTTTAGGGATTTATATAAAATAGATCTGCGCTTTATATTAATTATAATTAGAATAATTAAATATAATACGGGCTTGAATAAGGATATCACTATCGTTTCCTACTAAAGAAATACACGGCTAATTAATTAGAAGAGGCGAACCGAATAGTCCCTATATTAAGCGAAGATATATAGATAAATTCGATTACGTTGAATAAATTAATATATATATTTAATTAGCGACGACTTCGTACTAATATATATTATTTTAATAAGGTAAAGAATAGGAATATAGAATTCTTTTACTAGGATATAATAAAACTTATCCTATTATATATAGTTAGAAAAATTACTATTAAATAGTTACGGGTTTATTTAATTTAATTTAATTATCTTTTAATATTAGGACTAATTATTAAAATCTCAATCTTATTAACTTTATTTATATTTTTATATTCGAATAGATAAAAAATTAAGGTATTATTAAATATAAGTATTAAGGTGAATATTATTACTTAAGATATAGCGGTCTATTACGGATTAGCTATTATTCCTACTATAGCGTCGAATATTAATAATAATAGAAGTAAAAAAGGTTTTGTAAGAGAGTATTGTATAAAGATATAGTTAGTTAATTAATTAAAGGATATGTATTTTTTTATTATTATAATGGAATTGCTATATTACGACGTGATTTTTGGTTAGCTTTTCTTTAAGGATGCTTACTTTAATTTTAATTATTCCTTAATTAGAATTAAAATAATTAATATTAGGATAGACGATATTTTAATAAAAGCTACTCTCGTACCTAAGTAGAAGGTTGATTTGGGTATATTCTTATATACTTTATAGGAAGAGGTTGAGTAGCCATTTCCTATAGAGAAATTCGCTAATTATTTTAGAATTATATTAAGTAAATTTTAGTTAGTTCTAGATTAGTATAATAGAAAAGCGAGCGATGAAATTCTCGGACGGGTAGAAAATAAAGTAATTAATTAATTATTAGAATAGTATTATTATACGAGGGAAAGGCTTTAATAATTAAAGAAATTACTTTTAAATATTACCCGAAAACTCTTAAGAAATGAACTATTTGAGGTGGATGAATTAGAAAAGTATTCATTTGGAAAGAAAAAAAAAAGTAGAAAAGATAATATATATAATCTAGTATTAGGCGTTTTAAGAATAAAAAATAGATTTTTAAATAATATTCTTTTCAATCGATAATAAAAGCGAATTTTATTAAAAGCTTACAAGAAATAGATTTTGGAACTTTTACGTTTTTATACTATTTTATAGCGTTTCATATTGATTAAGAAAATGAAAGTAGGATTAACTATATTTACTTCCATATTTTTCGGAATAATTAGTTAATTATTTTCTAAAAAGACGCTAAATTTAAAAACCTTTATTATTTATATTATATATAAGAGGAAAGATTAAAAGGTTATATTAATCAATAATATACCTTCTAATAGATTAAAATTGGAAGGAGATTCTAAATAAAAAATTTAATATTTTACTACTTGATAAGAAAGGATTAATAAGAGGAGGAAAACCTACCCTTCCCCTTAGGACAATATAATTACTTTTTACTTTTCCAAAATAGAAGAAAGTGAACGTTTAACCCTAGAACGTTTTTAAATTATATTAAAAGGCGTTTAAAGTATTTTAAATCTCGAAGAACGGGACTTTTTCACTTATATACTAAAGAATTGAAAAATTATTTTAGTTTAGAATTTTAATTATATAGGGAAAATCGAATTAAATATTTTCCTACCGTAAGAAATCCGTACTATTCTTTATATAATATAGTAAAGCAGATTAATTTTTATATTAAAGGCTAATTATAATAAAGTTTGTAAGCTTTTAAATGATAGGATTAAGTACGGAACTTTGGAAGAAAATTATACAGTTTACCAAAATAATTAATTTTTAGTAGCTAAGAAAGATGGTAGCTTATATTTAATTAATAATATGTAAAAAATTAATATAATTATACTTCGTAATTCTAATATCCTTCCTAATTATAAAACATTTAACGAAGAGTTTAGAGGTTATAAAATATTATTATTACTTAATTTATATTCCGAATATAATTAGATTGTGTTGAAGAAAAAGAGCTGGGATTTTATAATTTTCTAGAATTTTTTAAGGTCTCTCTAATATATTTATATTACCCTAAAGAGTGATAAATTCGGTCGCCTAATTTATACGTAATATAAGAAGGATTTTGTATAATTTAATACCTTAAATTTATCGATTTTATTTAAATAATATCTATATTAAATTAGTTAGTACAGATTATAATAGGAAAGTAATTAAGTTTAGGATAGTGAAATATATCTTTAAGCACTTTTTGAATCTCGATAGGGTATTTATTAATATTAAGTTAAATATTATAATAATAGTAGCCGAAAAATCCTAATGGTATTAATTAAAAACTATTTTAGTAAGTTATTTCTATTCGGAAAATAATCGACGATTAGTATTTGAAAAGTTATTTAAGATTATAATTTAGAAGTATTATAGATATATTAAAATTAAAGGTAAAGAACTTTAATAACTAAAAGCTTTTTTGGGAATTGTAGAGTATTATTGAATTTAGATTAAAGATTTTGGATTAATTGTTTTGCTTCTTTACACTTTAATAAAAAAAGGGAATAAAATAGTAATAGATAGAAAATAAACAGTTCGCTATAGAATATTTATAATATAAGGTTACTTCGGCGCCTTATTTGGCCCCGATTGTCTACGATAATTCGTAATACGGGTAGATTTTTTTCGTCGTTGATATATTATTAATAGGTTGGGGTATAGTCCTTAAATAAGTAGGGTTTAATAAGTTAAAATACCCTTGCCGGTTCGAAAATAGAATTTAGTTTAACGCGGAAAAACGATATAACGTTATTAAAAGAGAGTTTCAGGGTTTTCTTTATACTTTAAGAAGAATAAAACAAATATTTTTTTAATATTTAATTTATTATTGAAATAAATATTTAGGTTATAGTTTATTAATTAAAGGGTGTTATTAATAATATTCTTAAAGTATTAATTATATATTAAATTATTTAGATTCGTTTATTCGATTTCAAAATTAAGTATATCCTAGGAAAGAAGAATGTTGTAGTTAATTATCTATTATGTTTACTTCCTTCCGACGATAATATAAAAGAAAAAGATGAAGAGGAAAATATTAATAATTACGTAGACTATTAAATTTTTATTTTAAAGTTAGATAAACGTTAATTAATAGTATATATAGAATAAAAATTATTTATTAGTAAGTAGTCTATTAATTCTTAATAAATTACTAAATATTTATAGACCTTTAAATTCTTTAGTTCTTTAAAAATAGAAATAGATCGCCGACGTTTTAAAACGAAAGGTATTAAATGTTTTATAAAAAATAGCGCTT